TGTCACTTTGACGCGGAAAAGACTCCTTTGCAGAGATGAGCCAATCAGTATCTCATGCTTAGTGAATCGGCCACATGCCGCTCGCTACTGTCCACACATGGCACGGCACCGGCACACAGTGGGCCAGAAGACCGGTGGAGGCGGTCAAAACTCTAGACGCGTTTTGAGGTCCAGAGTCACTAAACAGGACTCGAACTGAACGTGTGACCCCACCAATGGATTGCTCTCCCAACGAGGAATCCATTGGTGGGATCACACGCTCGGTTCGAGTCCCATTTAGCGACTCTGGAGCTCAAAACGCGTCTAGAGTTTTGGCCGCCTCCACCGGTCTTCTGGCCCACTGTGCGGCAGCTTCTCTTCGGCACAGAAACGGCGGCGCCACTGTGTGGGAAGCTTGCACACCGCGAACTCCGTATGCCCGTGGATGGCGACGAGGACTCCGCGCGACGCTACACGCGTGACGTGTCCCGGCGGCGCCCGGGTCGGCCGGCCTGGCTCCGAACACGGCGCCGTCGTCGCTCTGTCTCTCTCGCACCCGCGCGGACCCAGAACGCGGCCCACCGGCGGCGTGGCCCGCGCGGACACAGACCCGGAATGGCGACGGACATCCAGGCGCCGGGCCACCGTAGGCTGACGTCACATTGTCTTCGGCCGCCGTCCCCGGTTCGGTACCCGGTCCGCGGGTCGGGTCCGCGGTGCCGGCCGGGTCGTCGCGAACTGGCCGCCGCGCCGGCCGGAACTACACACCCGTTGGCGAAAAAAAGATATCCATAGCCCAGCCGCCGGCGCCGAGAGAGAGAGAGAGAGAGAGAGAGAGAGAGAGAGAGAGAGAGAGAGAGAGAGAGAGAGAGAGAGAGAGAGAGAGAGAAAATAATGTTGTTGTTGGGATGTTCTATGGTCTTTTTTGTTTCCTTTCCAGCATTTTTGAGCCGTTCAACGAGCGATAACGACGGGAAAAGGTCGTCAAGTTCACTCCAAATATGCGAACGTCCGGGACACCCGTCGGGCATGCCTTGGGTGTGTGTGAGAAGGTGTGTGTGTGCGCGCGTGCGTGTGAGCGCGTGAGGTAAGTAGTGTGTGTGTGCGTGTGTGCTTGTGTGTGTGCGTGTTTGTGTCTGTGTGTTTTCGTGAGTTTGTGTGTGTGTGATAGTTTTGCCCGAACTGATCCGCATTTTTATCGAAAATTAGGAGGTTAATTTAAGCGGTCATTCCCTATCCTTCTGGAGAAGGCGCCTTGGGAGCAGCGCGGCCGACTTTTGACGTGCCGGCGCGTGGACGGGCGGGCAGACAGATAGGCAGACAGACAGACAGGCAGACAGACAGACAGACAGGCAGACAGATAGGCAGACAGACAGACAGACAGGCAGACAGACAGGCAGACAGACGCACGGACGGACGAGCGGACGGGCGGAGGCGGGAGATCCTCATTCCAGCGCCTTGAATGGCGGGCGGGGACGCGTTAGCGTTGGCGCCACAAAAATGTGCCGCATCGGTGTGACTCGCCAGGAATGAAATAAAACGTGTGATAATGTTGTGCTGTTGTCGGTGGCGGCGGGCTGGATCCGGGCCGCGCCGCCGTGCCGCCGCGCCGGCCGAAATATAAAGGAAAGTTCGTCAGAGGCCGGCGCCGGCGTCACGGCGTCACCGCGCGAGGCTCACCGCGTCAGGCTCACACGAGTCGTGCCAGATGGGTCTCCGTCGTCACTGAGTTCCGCTTATAGACCGATGATTACTCGCAGTCAGAGTATCTTTCTCCGGTTCGGAAACGAAACTGGGGCCACCCGTGGGGATGATTACGCGTGGGAGGGAGGAAGAAGAGCGGGGCGGTCTCGAATTACGTTCGAGAATTATTTCGAGAGTGATTGCCATCATCATCGTCTGGATGTAGCCCCGTCGCCACTGCTCAAATTAACCAGCCAAAATGCTGAAGTCGGCAGACCCGGTTTATTTTTGGCAGTGCAATGGAGATTCATTGGCTGACTGTGTTCTGCAGCTGCTCCTGTGTAAATCTTCACTGGACTGTGACGACGTTGCGCAAAAGTATAAAGCCAAGCTGCTAAGACTTGTAATTCAGCGTTGATCAAGGTGTTTTTTTCTTGGAAAGCACTTGGAAAACTTAAAATGTTTCCCAATGTATTGGTCCATTTGCAAGAGTATTTATACACGTTCCCTAAACAGCTGTCGCTGGAAATACCCGAGGCACTCGAGGAGCAACCTGCTCTCCCGATTGCAGGTGATATTTTCGTAATTGTCTACCCATATAGACACATGCGTGGTACCCAGCCGCCACGGGCCAAGATAGAGGTATGTCGAAAAGTCTTGAGTATTCCCGGAACGCTATCTGCCGGTGGGAAACGACTAGGTATCCCTGTGGTAAACTGCAAGCATCGAGTCTATTTTTAAAGCAAGGTAGATTTAGCGTTATTTTTGGTTTAGTTTTCACTGTAAGAAGAATTTTTCTATCAATTTTACTCTGAAGTGTATCATGAGTTATTGGAAGATGAGTGCATCAAATTTCTTACTAAAATCGAAAACTTTTGGTTGAATTTAGCCAAGAGAACGAATAGCAGACATATATGTATGCTGTTTGTTCTCTAACTGATTTTCGAAAAAGCGACACTCGGTCCGTTGGGGAATCTCCTCACCTCTGCGAGGGCATCGGTCGCCCCGAAAGTGAATTATTTGTTTACAAAGTTGCCGATGTTGTTGTTGTTGTTGGCGATGTCGTCGTTGGGGTTCGTCGCGAAAAGGATGCGGCCGTGCGACGACACTCCGTGACGCAACGCGTGCGAAAACAGCGTGCCGGCAGGCCGGCGGGCCGGCGGGCCGGTCGCCCCGGTTGGGGGAGAAATCGTCCAGTTTGGAGAATACGTCACGGCGTTTGTGTTGATACCTCCAGCACAATGGTCATCTGGCGGAGTCCCCCTGTGATAGCACACGCACGTGGTGACGATCGCTGACTCCGGGGGGCACGGCACGGCACGGCCTGGTACGGCACGGCACGCCGGACTCGTCCGGACGCTGCAGGGATGCGCGTTGGGCCCACGAGTAGTGGGGGCTCGCGAGCGTCATTTGCGTTCCTGCTGCAAAACGTTCAGTTTTCAATAGATTCCCGTCGTTTCGCGCCTAATAAGTTGCTGTTTTCACATTGATCAAAATCCTTCATGGCCGTGAAAGCAGTAGTCCCAGGTGCAGTAGTAAGGATGGCCCATTGTACTAGAAAAGGTGGCTCATTGCAGTAGTATGGGTGGCCCATTGTAACGGCCGCCTGCCCCTGTAACACTGGCCACTCACGGCCCTGTGATGCGCTGGGGGCCCGTGGGCTGCGCGTAGCCTGTCCTTTGCTTACACCGGAACCAACGCACCAATCCTACACATGAGCCACACCACGTGACTGCCGTTTTGGCTGACGCAAAAATGGGCACTTGTTGATGCGTGGTCTGCAATGCGGCGCCCGCCGGTGGGTAATAGCTTCCCAGACGATAGTGCGCTAATGGAGGCACTCCCCATGCCTGTCTGTCTCTTTCTCTCTCTGCCGCCCCCTGCAGGCCCTGCCCCGCACCGCGTACGCACCGCGTGGCATTCCGGCCGAGGGCCATGCAGGCGGTTCGCACCGATACGAGGCGGCCGAGCGGGCCTCAGGCAACTCGCATACCTCCACCATGCAACAATTATGGCTCGCGACAGCAGCGTCGGGCCGTCCTGGGGCCGTACTGTACTGGGGCAAACGGAGCAGCGTGGTGAACAAGCGAGCGAAGCCCTGGAGGAGCCAAAGCAGCACCAAGGCACCCAATGAAAAGCATCATTCTGGACAGACTCCCACGAAAATATTCCTGAAGAGCCGTCTTGGAGAGCGTCTCCTGAGGAATCTCCCCGCTGGGCTCACTGGAGAGCTGTCCTGGAAGACCCTTGAGGAACTACTTCCTGCAGAGCCTCCTTCGGGAGCTGCTCTGGAGAGACTCCACGGAGGAACTCCTCACGGGCGCCCTGCGCCATCCTGTGTATGTTGTATTCCAGCACCCAAATTGCAGGTGGCGGTGGGCATGTTCGCACGGTAAGCCGGGAAATGGCAACCATGCGCGAAGCCCATCCACGACCATCCATGGGCCATCCATGGGCCATCCACGGGCCATCCACGGGCCATCGACGGGCCATCCATGGGCGCTCCATGAGCCGTCGGTGCGGTAAGGCTTCGCACGTCTGCAAGCAGCGCAGACACGGCGGTCGTTATCAATGATGACCGTGTGTGAAGGTAAAACCCCGCAGTCGGCCGCTGCAGACGTTGTGTGTGTGCTATGTGTGAGTGTGAGTAGGTGGAGGGGAGGTGGTCGGGTGAAAGAAAAGTAAACACTGGATGCATATTCACGTTGTGCGCTTGAACGCTGCTAGATTCAGCCGGCTTTATATGAACGCTGGAACGCCAAACCAGCTGATTTTCTATTATTAACACTAACACCAGAGAAGAAGATTAATTTTTGAAAAAATATTGAATGAATGACACCGAACGAATTTCAATTGTTCCCGCCGATCTGATAACTCTGTTTTTCTTTCCAATCCAGTTTTTTCTTTGTTGTTCCCACCGGTGTGAGAGGATTCGCCCCGCGGGGACCAGTATTGCAATGCATTCAAAATCAATACTTCTTTTCCCCTCCTTTTTTTGGGATGCCAGGCCATGCGCGCGCCAATCCGTGGCCACACCTGGGCCCGCGGCGCGGCGTGCCTGCCCCGGCCCGATAGACGCGCTGCTGCGTATTCAAAGGAGGGGGAGGGGGAAGGGGGGTCGGATTGACAAGCATGCACACACTGGCGGGGGTGGGGCGGAATGCGCGCGGAATGACCCAGTGTGCCGTGCTCGCCGTGCTCCGGGCAGACGTCACCGGAACAGCCCAAGTCGCGTCAAGACGTGTCGCGCGGGGGCCGGCCGGGCCCAGCCCGGAGTCCGGCGGGGGGAGGGGGGCGGCCGGTGCGGCCATCTCGCCAGCTGAGTATATCTACCGTGGACGGCCGCTGGCCGGCATCAGTCCGCCAGCGACCTCCGAGCGAGCACAGCCAGCCAGCTCTCGTGTGCACTCTCTGCCCCGCCGAGCCAAACCCGTGTGTTGTTTGCGTGTTTTCGTGCCGCTCTCGCCGGCCTACACCAAGACCCGCCCCGCCCCCTTCGCGCCGGGACTACCACCCCTTTCTTCAGCTCTTTCAAGCTCCAGACAACAACAACAGCAAGATGGAGGCGCAAAAAGCGACCGTGGTGTGCGCCGCCCTGTTCGTCCTGCTCGCCGCATGCGGTAAGTTTAATTAAACGCAATGCCAGTTAGGTGAAAAAAGGGGCGCTGTGCCCGCACCACGTCGATGGGAGCCGTCAAGTTGGACGCACGCCGGCGGGTTTATTGTCGGCACTGTTTTTTCCTCTTTCTCGTTGCTTTTTTCGCACCCCTCGGCTCGCCAGGGTCCGTCCGCAAAGTGCAAAGTGACTGGCCGGCGTAATTAACTATTAATCTCGCCTCCTGGGGCTTTATGTACGGCCCCGGTGAATGAAACAGGGGTTGATGGGGCAGTAGCTCCCCCGGCGAGCGTCAGTCCTCCAGGACCATGCCTTGAACCTGCCCTTTGCTCTCTGCTGCAGCCGAGGCCGCCGTGCCGCTGAGCTCCAGGACGACCTGCACCGACCCCGAGACCAACAAGGTCCACTCCCTGGACGAGACCTGGTTCACCACCGGTGAGCGCGGCTGCATGCGACTCACCTGCGACGGCGAGGACACCATCAGCGGACTCACGTAAGTTCAAGTGCTTTTAAGTTGAAGTTAGCGCCTCCGTTTAATCAGCGCCTCGTTCAAGGATCCCAGACGCAAACGATGAACTAACGGTGTTCTTGTCCTACTGCAGGTGTGCGCAGTTCCAAGTGCCGTCCTGGTGCTCCGTGAAGCCCGGCAACCGCAAGGCCGTGTACCCCGACTGCTGCCCGACGCCGGTGTGCCCCGAGGAGAACGCCATCGAGGGCAGTAGCGCCAGCACCAAGGCGGCGCACAAGGGGGACTTCGGCGGCTACCCGTACCCCCCTGCCTACTGAGAAGCCTGCCAAGACGGACGGCCAACGCCAACCAGGGCAGGCCCACCACGGCCCCGGTGACCGACTCCAATGGAACAAGCCCGTCGGCAAGTCAGTCGGCAAGCCAGTAGGCAAGCCAGTCAGCAAGCCAGTTAGCCAGTGAGAGGACGACGGCGGCCTCAAGGCGCACCGAGTCCAAGGTCCGGGATCTGTCCAGACGCGCGAAGCGTGTGACGTCACGTCACGTGTACGTCACTCGGACGTCGCGTGGACGTCACGCGCGCAGCGCTGTGACTACTGTTGTGATAGTGGCACGCCACGGCACGCCAGCCGCGGATCTGCCACGACCCCAATGTGATAGCTTCGAACCGGATGCGTCCCTGCCCCAGTCAGCGACGTTGTGACGTTGTACAAGCCAAAGAGACTCCCCTTATTTATGAAGACGTTTTCTGTGTGTGAATCAGTGTGTGAGTGCGGAGGTGGTGTGAATCGGTGTGAGAATGAGAGCAAGAGCGACCTCGTGGCCAAAACCCTCGAGTTTATCGTGTGACTGAATTTATTTAATTTAATAAAATATTAATTTCGTGAAATTCTCCAAGTTGTAATTTCATCCCTTGTACCCCCTCGACCCTCTGAAGTTCCCAACTTGCCACAGCTGGGTTGGGAGAACTCGAACTGTGCCTCCACCACAAGGTCGTCGAAGTTTTCCATACGACCTCACTCCACCGCATTGTGGTCCCGGGGCGGCGCCGTGCGGGTAGGCAACCCATCGTGCGGGCGGCCGACTGGCGCCCTCGCCGAAAGGCTCTTTCTGCCCCTGCGGGCAAGTAAGTCCACCGTGGATTCAAGAGGCGGGCAGCTTTTGGCGGGCAGCGGTGACCGACGGACCAACGCGCTGTCAAAGAGTCGCACAGAACACATCGCCCCCATCCGTTATTGTCACTTTGAATAGCGCCGGTCGGGCTGCCGATCTCACACAGTGGGCCAGAAGACCGGTGGAGGCGGCCAAAACTCTAGACGCGTTTTGAGCTCCAGAGTCGCTAAACAGGATTCGAACCGAACGTGTGACCCCACCAATGGGTTGCTCTTGGAACGAGGAATCCATTGGTGGGGTCACACGTTCGGTCCGAGGCCTGCTTAGCGACTCTAGAGCTCAAAACGCGTCTAGAGTTTTGGCCGCCTCCACCGGTCTTCTGGCCCACTGTGAGCCATGTGCACAGCCCCGCCACTGGCAGCCGGCAGCCTGGGCTACAGCCGATACCGGCGAGAAACAAAACGGGTTCGACCTCCCGCCACGAATAGATGACCTGTGCACTGCTTCCCGGACGTACACAACGGCGGTGGAAGTAATTATTTTGGCGGTGTGTCTGGCGTGCCTCGTGTGCTCCCACGCCCTGGCTCGGCTCGGGGAAGTCCTAGCGGGGATTCCCCGGAGCTAGGCGCGCAGGGCGTACCTACCGCAGCCCTGCGTGAGCTTCGCTGTTGCGAATGGCCATCGCCATGAATGCGAACGAACACCCATCAGGGAATCCCGAGGTACATTCCGAGCCAAAGGCAAGGGCAAATGCCTTACAGAACCCGGAACAGAGGCCGGACGGCGAGTCTGAGCTGTTCCGGTTTTGGAGGCTGCAGGATGGAGCCTGTGCAATAGGGCACTTCCGAGAAAAGCAGACGTTGGTCTTGGAATACAGCTCGGAATCGGCAGAACGGCGACGCAGACGCTCATTCTCGAGAATTTACCATACTCTGTTCTTCTTCATTTCTTTTCAACTTCCGTTCCATGATGTCCGAAAAGTACACTTCTGTTTACATCGGCCTGCGGTTACACTCCTGTTACACGGATCGCGGTCCCGCCGCCGATGACACCGGTCTGCCGGGTACAGTCACGCACCACAACAAAACCCATATGCGCACCGCCGAACCAGTTTCGTCGCGACGTCACTTTTTAACGCGCGCGGTGACGCTCAAGGTGAGGAAGAGGTTGCCGAGCCGTCCAGTCTGCTAGTCGCTGCTGGACCGGCAGCAAGTCATGTCGAACACGACGGCGGTGGTGGTGCTGGCCCTGGCCGCGCTGCTGGTGACCTGCGGCGCGCGCCAGACTGCAGTCCAGCCTGCTGCAGGTACGTTCAGTGCCGGATCCTGGCCGAGCAGGGGGCCCGCAGGGTCGCCGCCGGTCAAACCGCCGAGAAGCTGAACCAGCTCGCTGCCTTCAAAACAACCTCATTGTGTGTATTTGGTGTCTTTGAAAGTTTTTTTTTTCCTTGACCAGTTTGAACTTTGAAGAGCGATAGCGGTCTCAAGTGGTGCTTCCAAAGCGCCATTATCGCATTGGACAAGTTCCTGATGACATAAACAGCGGCAACCTGTGCTCCACGTTTTGCGAGAGTTACAGCCATCCTTATTGATTGGCTTTTGAGTCAGGGTTCGTGCACAGATCATGGGCAATGGTTAATTTACAAAACGCTTACGTTTGACGATTGAGAGCTGCCGATGATATCATGGAAAACCTGGAGTTCCAGATTTGTTTAAATTGTAGGGACCGTTTGTTCCCAAGTCATAAAAAAATCATCTGCCTTTTCTTTAAAAAATTTAGTTTTTTTGAGTGGCGCGGCAGTAACATTATCCCGATTGCGCGAGTGTTTGCGAGGCCCGAAAGGTCATCCGGCGAGTTCAAGGCACGAACGTTGGACACTTTCAAAGACAAAAAGAAGCCGCTCTCCGATGGTGGATGGATTAATTCTCGGCGGAGACAGCGGCAGTTTAAAAAGTGAAAAGGAAAAAGTGTCTGCGCTCGCTCGGACGGATTTAATGACTGTCTATTTCCTCAAAGGAGCAGAAGTTTAGCGAGTGACAAATAGGGCGGACTGGCTTCCCGTTCCATTGGCCCATTCGAGCAGCCAAATTCAGTTCGGCAGAGCAAAGTTAGTTGGATTTCTGTTATGACACCAACAAATAAAATAAGATGAGAATGAGGGCCGGCCGGGAGGGGCGGGGCGGGCCGGGGTTCGATCTGATTGTGCCATCGCGAACTGTCGCGCGATATGAGGCAGAGCAGAGAGTAGCTCCAAGTTTTCGACAGCCACTGACACTCTTTCCGCAACTCCGTAATTTCGTTGTGCTAGCCATCAAGTCGAAGACCCGAGGAGGGAGGGAAGTTGGGTTTGGCGTCCGTCGACCCCACCGCCAGATGCATCTGAAGCAGCCCTGGAAATCAGCGTCCGTTCCAGATGCATTCGTCCCAGATTCCGAATATCGACAACTTGGAGAGCGGATGAAAGCGGCCAGATTAAATGCTTCTTTCTTTTTTGGCTGAGTAGAGTCTTTCTTTTACCATGACGCCGCTGGCTGGAGCAGCGCTGATCGGCTGAAATAACTGGCAACAAGTTCTATATTGAACCCCATTTGACCAACCTCGGTCTTTCTAACGTAATCAAAATCAAACCCAGCCAAACCAAGCCTGAGATCTCTGCAGTGAAAATGCTAAAGGGCCCCAGAAGAGCCTAATTGCGTATGAATCGTTATTTTTGCAGAGACGGTCGTCGGTTGCGAGGTGGACGGACACCACTTCGGCGTCGGCGAGGTCTTCAACACGGGCCCGGAGTCCTGCAACACCTACACCTGCCACGACCACGGCGCCGTCGGCGCCCTCACGTGAGTCGGGACCTCGCAAATAAAAGTAGCCTAATTGACTTTTGCCGACGACAAAGTTGCCAAGTCGTTGTTTACAGGTGCGGCTACTTCTCGGCCGGCGAGGGATGCGAGATCGTGCCCGGCCGCTCGGACCCGGACGCAGTGTACCCCCACTGCTGCCCCTCGGAAATGTGCAACGACAACATCATCAATGTGGACTGAGCGAGCCAGTCAACAGCTATTAGTGTCCTGCTTATTCAGCCTGCTCGCTGCAAACCCACCGTCACGTTCGAAACGGCCGTTGGCAACGGTCTGTGAGAGGGGCGGGGGAAGGGCGGAGCAAGACAGCCACTGATGGAGCAGTTTTGTTTTTAAAAAATTACAGGAATATAATACTTAAGGAGACTGGTGAAATATATTCCTGAGTCGTACTTGTGGTTGGGTTTATCTCCTGCCCCTGGTGTTGTACACCCAAGTTCCACAGTGATGCGTTTAATTAAAATGTGTGTAAACTGTCGTACCTTTACGCAATAAATGAAAACAACTTAAGACACTGGAATCAACGTCGAAGTCCCAGAGAGCCGACTCGTGAACCGAGCGTGATTTGGCGTGGAGTATCGCCAGTCGCGGTGGTGCCGTTGCGCCCTCAGCCCTGGAGGGGTCGCCACTTGTTGCTCGGCAATACCCCGCGCTGGGGCGACGATACGCCTGCCGGGCTGGCGATACTCCGTGCTGCGCGATCCAGCCTGGAGTATTCACCCAGCGCCCTGCCGAAGTCATGCCCGGTCTTGGCTGATTCTCGTAGGAGAGCGAGCGGACATGAACCGCCCCTGAGAAATTGTTCGTGTATTACGTAACCATACTTAACGCTGATGCTTCATAGCACTGTCCTCGTTACCAGTGGCGGATCCAGAGTTGGCCCGGGGGGGGGGGCAAAGTAGCACTTTTTGCCTACTTACAGGGGCAAAGTAGTGCTTTTTGCCTACCTTTCAGGCGGCTATCTAGGGGTCAAGGGGGCAATTGTCCTTACGCCCCCCGCCTGGATCTGCGCTTGCTCGTTACTCATTTGTGTACAAAAAGCACAGTCAGGGAGACGGTTCCCTTGGCTGCACGCGATGACAGTCAAGCTGCCTCGAGCACTAGAATCTCCTTCTCGGGAGCGGCATTAACGAGCTGCTACACTGCGATCCACACAAAGCAGCATGTCCGTCAGCTTGTCGTCCACGCGGTCACCGCGCGCTTAAACACGACGCGCTCCGCGGCACGCGACCGACTGCCGTAGATTGCGGTGCGTCTAAAAGTCCGGCAGTGTGGCAGTCGAGCCAGCGCGGCGAGCAGAACAAGAACGAGGCATGGATCACCTTGCGGGCCGCGTCGCCGTCGTCACCGGGGCCAGCTCCGGCATCGGGGAAGAACTGGCCTTGCTGCTGGCCCGGGCCGGGCTCGTGGTGGTGGCTGTGGCGCGGAGGAAGCAGCGTCTCAAGGTGCGTTCCCTGTCACCCTGTCTCTCTCGGACTAGTGCGCGCCGCTGTGGTCCAGTCCTTAATGGTAATAGTAAAGACAGGGGCGAGGTAGGCCACCCGCCTCACACCTGTGCGGTGCAGTCAGCCGGGCTGCTGGCAGGCGCTACAGCCCCGCGGAGTGGGACCCTCCACTTTTAATCGAGTCATTTGTTCATTCGGAAGGATCTAGCCGCCAGGGCGGCCAAAGTCAAAGGCAAGCTGCATCCGTTCGTCGCCGACATGGCCGAGGCCGGGGATGTGGCCAAGCTCTTCAAGTGGGTGGACACGGCGCTGGGCGGCATCACCATCCTGGTGAACAACGCCGCCATCCTCCCCGTGGACCCACTGCACGGTAGGTGGCGGGCGATACCCCACGCCTTAGTGGCCGCTCGCGCGTGGAGTATCGACGGGCACAACCCTGCTTCGGTGTTGAAACTGAATTTCGGGCGCAGACATGGAGCCGGCCAGGATACAGCAGCTCGTCAACACCAACCTGACCGCCGTGATGCTGTGCTGCCACGAGGCCATGAACAGCATGAGGAGGCACGCCATCAAGGACGGCCACCTCGTCAACATAAACAGGTACAGGAGGCTTTTTTGGAGGGGGGTGCACTTTTTGCCTCGGGGTCTGACTGTGACACGTTGCAGCATCCTGGGCCACACCGTGCTGAACGGGGCGTTCTCCGCGACGGCCTACGCCGCCACCAAGCACGCCGTCACCGGGCTGACCAGGGGCCTGCGCTTTGACGCCCTGAGGATCGCCGGCTTCAACATCCGCGTCTCGGTGGGTCTAGGCTCTTTGTCGAGCCATGTGTTAGGGCTTCTTTCTCCCGTTTCCCAATTCGCAACTTTCGCGGATTCTCCCGTTGAAAATGCTCATCTGGTAATCCTGGCTTAATGGTACCGGCGTCGCGCAACAGGCGGCGGCGTTTACCTGTCTGCGCCTTGAAAGCCTTGAAAGCCTTGAAAGCCCAGCCCCTCGCCAAGTTGTGTTGTTCTCTCGGCTCAGGGAGTAAGCCCCGGCGGCGTCCTCACGGACATGATCTCCCCGCACGTGCCTGACTCCATGAAGCAAGTGATGCTGCATCCGAAGGACGTCGCCGAGACCGTCATGTACATCATCTCGTGCCCGCCGGGCGTGGAGGTGAGGGACGCCTATCGCGCCACTCTCTTCTGGTTTCGGTTGATATTACACTGTTGCCGTTTTGTTTCTTAGATTTCGGAGCTGGTTATTCGCCACCCAGCTGAAGCGGTTTGAGTCTGGAGAGAAATGAACCTCTTCCCTCAATCCAGGCACATCCCACACCCATGCCTTAGAAGCGCCTGCCAGCGGGCAAAATGTTTGGCAAATGCATAGCAATCTCATACTTTTCAGCATGCCCCCACTTGGGTAAATTAAAGTTGTACTACTTATATTCGGTATTGAGGCACCAGTTTATTCAAATATTTTTCAATGAAACGGGCGCGCACAATCTCAGTTTCCTTAAACACGTAACAAGACAAATAAATAACAGAGTATCATAAGGCACAGTGTATAGAAACATATTTTGTTGCAATATTACATTAAAATTCGTATGGTTTTGGTATTAAAAAAATTAAAACTCCTAAGAATTAATTGGATTAACATACTTGCAAAAGCATTCGCCCTGACAAACCATTTCTTGTTTCGAGGGCGTGGGTCCACAAACCCACTCCAAACAGCGCTCAGTCGCAACAATCAGATTGTCGCTAAAGAGTGTCTTTGTTTTCGCCTAAACTCATCACTCAGCACACATGTTCAAAGAAGACACCGGAAATAAAATCAAAAATAGCAAAATATCCAATTACATCAAAGTTGAGGGAGAAAAACGACTTGGCTTTTGTACAGTTGCCGGTGTATAGTGAACCACAAAACTTAGTTTTAGCCAAAATAAGAAGAGCAACATTTAAAAAAAAATTGTAGTGTGTGCTGCTCTTCTGTTTTGCTGTGCTTAGTATATGTCAAACATAAACGAAGTTATTTCACCCGCAGCCAGCCGTCTACAAGTCTGATGTATCCGGATCTGAAACAAAACGAAAACCACGTCAGGACCTCGGGGCGTTCAGAAGACAAAGCTACACCGAGAGGAGGAGGAAAGCGGGCCAACACTTTGCGGAGGGAAAAATAATTGTCCTCTTTCCGCTTGTTTTAGTCATTGCGTTTAGGTCTAGTGAGAGGGAATACCAATCATCAAAAATATTGGCCCTCCTCATTGTTTTGAACACAAAATCTTTTGGCCGCGAGTTAGCATTCCACGTCTGTGAATACAGGAAATCGTACAAACATGCTCGAACGAGTTATTCTAGCTACGGCAATCATCAGGCAGGGCTCAGGCAGGGCGAAGCAATTCCTTGAAAATCAACTCAACTCAACAGGTTTTACACAATTCAAATAAAAATCCCCAGGATGTGAATATCCATCTGCGGCCTTATCATCCCGTTAACTCCTCTGCTCCAACATTGATCATGCCTGCAGGATTGGGTGAACAACATATTGTTCCAATCATTCACTCATCAGATTTTCTCCTTAGTCCGTTAGCACAAAAAGATTGGAAGCCGGGATTAGTACACAAGCAACACCAAGAGCTGTAAAAAGGGAACGTTTAGTGTCACGGAAATATTTCTCTTCAAAAAAGCAAACTGCACCTTTCTGTTTCGCGCAGTCTGGACTAATGAAACATACAATAGTGTTCAGGCAATGTTACATATTAGTCCTATTGACATACAAAACACGCATCACTTCATAATTTACTGCATCGGAATTAGTGGCAATAATTACTTTTTGAACGATTTAAAACGTGAGACAGAGGCCTCTTTAAAAAAAGGGACTGCTTTTGATAGCAGACAGGAAAAAATAAAAAAAATTTGCGCAAGAAAAATAAAGGACTATAGCAACGATATAGATAACATTTCAAAACAAAAATAATAAAAACACCGTTTTCTCAAGGTGAAGTTTACTATGAAGAGAGAATTATTTAGCTTTGACCATTTTTTGTAATCTGAATCATTTAGTTCAATACCAAAGTGAAATTGTTACTGAAAATATATAAACTAGATCTCGCCAAATGGATAAGCGCAATGTCAAACTCACATAAAAAAGAGAGAAAAAGGAAAGAAAATGTTTCAACCAAAAAGAATATTGTTCCCAATACCTTTCTTGAGCAAACCTTTCTATGCGACTTGGATTAGGACTTAAGACCGTCAAAATATCACGATTGGAAGATTCCCCCACTGTCATCCCGTCTTCCAGTGAGAAAAGATCAGATGCCGTCACTACCGGACGCCGCGGTGCCGAGACCGTCACGGGGAGGGGAGGGGTCGTCGGAGGCGGGGGGCGGGGCGGGGAGGCAGTCGTCGTCGAGGAGCTGCAGGGCCTTGTGGAGGTCCTTGCCGCTCCGCACGCGGGGGCACTTGGCGCGCAGGCCCTCGATGACGCCGGGGCTGAAGCCCGAGGGCCGCGCGTGCTGGTCGAACAGCCGGAACGCCCTGGAGGGCATGATGTCGTAGTCGGCCAGGTCGTCGGCCTCGCACTGGCCCCAGGTCTCGTAGTAGCTGGTGTACTCCTGGCCGTAGGCGCCGTGCGCGGGCGGCACTCGTTGGCACGGCGACTGCAGCAGGCCGCTGCCGCCCTCCTCCGACGTGGACGTGTCGTAGGGGTCCATGTCCTCCTGCAGGATGCGCAGCGCGGCGGCCTGCAGCTTGGCCATGGGCACCTTGCGCAGGCGGCGGCCTTTCTTGCGCTGCAGCAGCGTCTGCACCAGGTCGCGCACCAGCCTGTCGGTGACGGTGGGCGACGACGGCGAGGTGATGCCGGAGGACGAGGAGAGGGACACGCTGTCCGGGTCCCTAAGCGCCGCGCCGAGCGGCAGCGTCAGGCACTCCTTGCGGTTGGCCAGCATGCCCAGCTCGGGGTTCGGCGGCGGCTCCTCGGCCACGGGCGTGTTGAGGCTCTCGTCCTGCAGCAGGCGGAAGAGCCGCGAGTGTGTCTGCGCGCGCTGGTACTTGCTGATCTTCCTGGGCCGGCTGCGCGTCTCCGCCGCCACCTCCTCGTTCTCCGCCTCCGAGATGTGGCGGCTCATGTCCGAGGTGACGCCCGAGTCGTCCTCCTCCTCGCTGCGCTCCGCCTTGTCGTCCGTCAGCATGGAGGGCACGTCGTCGTCCCTGGCGGCCTGCTTCAGCAGCGGCAGGTGTCCGGAGGGACTGGCGCTGAGGTGCGCGATCAGGCCGCGGACGCACTTCTCCACGTCCTCGGGCCGAGAGTCGCTCTCCAGCTCCTCCTCCTCGTCGTCCTCCTCGTCCTCGTCCTCCGTGGCGTCCACGCTGGCGGCGGCCACCGGCGCGATGGCCTCCACGCTGCCCCGCGCGCTGCTGCTGCGAAGGCTGCTGCCGCTGCCCGTGTGCACGCACGAGCTCTTGCTGCACACCACGGCACTGCTGGCCCTGCTGCTGACGCTCCTACTGCTGCTACTACTGCTACTGCTGCTGGAGGTGGTGCTGCTGCTGTCGCTGCTGCAACTGATGTCGTCGTCCTCGCTGTCCTCAGCAGCCGGCGCTATGATTCCCTCTTCTTCTCGTTCTTCTTCCTCTTCCTTTTCTTCTTCCTTTTCTGGCGGCGCGACGACGTCCTCGTCCTTCTCGAAGGCGCTGCTTCGCCGGCGGACAACGGTCTGCAGCGTGCCGTCCTCACCCCACTCGAAGTCCTCCTCGACGTCGTCGTCCTGGTCGTCCTGCTGCTGGTCGTCCTTGACCGTCTGGACGCTGGTGCTGCTGGAGTCGTCCTCCCAGTGGCCGTCACTGACCTCGCTGCCGCTGTGCTGGTCGTGGCGCCGCACCGTCTGGATGCTGGTGCTGCTGGAGTCGTCCTCCCAGTGTCCGTCACTCTCCTCGTTGCTCCTGGCCTTGTCGTCCTCCTCCGTGCTGCTCGTGCAGACGGGGGAGGAGGGCGCGGCGCTGGCGGAGGAGAGCCGGCGTGCGCGGAAGGGGAACACGACGCTGACGTCGGACGACGCCGTGCTGGCGCCGGACGTCGGGGTGCTCGGACTCGTCGCCGTGCTGCCGGCGTCCGCAGAGGCACGTCGCGGGACCGACGCCGCGCTGGGGAACGTCGGCCGCTGCTTCTCTGACCTCGGCGACGACGCCGAAGAGTCGTTGGAGCTCGTCGACGACCGCCGCACCTCGCCGACGATGACGGTGGTCACCTCCTCGTCGTTCTCGGACCGCGTGAAGTGCAGCTTGAGCGGCAAGCGCACTGTCACCGTCGTCGACTCGGCGTCGTCGTCATCTTCGTCACCCAGGTCATCGTCAGTGGCGTCGTCGTCGCTCGCCGCCGTCGGCGTGGACGTGCTGAGTTCGCACTGCCTGCGCCGCACGCTCTCGGCGTCGCTCGCGTCGCTCTCTTCGGGGATGACGCTCAGCTGGTGCGGGTACTGCTCGGTCGCGGGGATCACCACGTCCTCGACATCGTCGTCTTCCTCCTCTTCATCATCAGACACCTCGTTACCGGCGTCGCCGCTGTCGCTGTAGACCTGCACGTTGGTGACGGACCGGGCGGAGCGCAGTGGCGACGCGTCGTCGCCGCCCTCCTCGACCTCGGTGTCCGAAGAGTCGTCGTCGTCGTCATCGTCCTCGTCGCTGCGCTCCTCCACGTCCGTCAGGATGGTCTTGTTGTGCTGCAGCGTGGCGGAGACTGGTGGCGGCGGAGCGTCGTCGGCGACCTCGTTGGTGGGCGTGGTGACGGTGATGCTGGGCGTCCCAGGCGTGGCCGGTGCGGCGGGCCACTGCGGGGCGTACCCGTACCACGACGGGTCCGGCGGGTGCAGCTGGTGCGCCGCGAACCTGGCGCCGTAGTACGTCATCTCGTCCGTCGACGAGTACCCCGAGCAGTCCTCGGAGTCGCTGTGGTAGGCCGCGTGCGGCGCCGCTCCCCAGTAGGGGTCGTAGGCGTAGCCGTAGGGCGGGTAGCCCAGCGCGGCGTTCATCTGGGTCATGTACGCGCACATGGCGTTGTAGTGCTCCCAGAACTGCTGCTGCTGCTCCTCTGTGGGGGGCTGGCTGTCTGTCCACTGACCGTCTGTGGGAGGATAGGGGTAGGGGTAGGGGGGCAGGGACGGATCGTACTCGGCACCGTAAGCATCGGAACTAGGCTCTGATTGCGGGCTTGCTGACGCATTCGCGGCTACAAACAGACCAAGAAAAATGTCGTTGCAGCGGGAAAAAAAAGAGAAAAGTATGGAGGATGAAGCTCTGTACAGTCTAATGAAGTGATCATGGGCATGAGCAAAGTCAACTTTACAGGATGGCATGCGATATGCACGGATGCTCACGCTATATCGATTTTTTTTCAAAACTGTTTTTAAATCCGGATTATTTTTAAATGAAAGTGACGAGTGAAGTATGAATTAAAATGACAGAATGACAACGAGTATGATCCAGGGAGGAGCAATAGTAACACTTAATTAAAAATATTTAGTTTAACTACTAATTTGATTATATTTTTAAAAAACGTTTTGATACAGGGAAATGAAATGAGTGGTGTGCGCGAAAGGCAGAGCTTTCCTCTCAAAGCCAGTTTGTGCGAGTCCTCTAAGAGGCACTTTACAAAATGACAAAAATGCACGATACAAAATAAGCGTACGAAAAAGGAAAAAACTGGCCCTCGAATCAAGCGTCCGCACGACAGTGCGGTGGGGACAACCCAGAAGCTCCAACAAAAAAGCTCTGCCTGGTTTGGTTACAGGCGGTCAAGTCAGGGCATGGCAAAATGGGCAAATTGGGCAAAATGGGCAAAATGAGGTGAAGGTGAGAGTGCGTTAGCCTAGCCTCGAGTGGAAGCAAGCGTGTGTCGAACAAGGGCGGGCTGGCAATGCATCAAGTGTAACAGAAACTTTGTTACGCAAAAAAGAGATAAACAAATCGTAATTATTGTGTATAACATCAGATATTAGTATAATAGTATATACACATTGAATGCGTTATTCTTTGCACCACCAGCCTCGGCCGTAGGGTTCCGTACACCGATCGGCAAGGGACTCATGTCCGTGAAACGATATGATGACGCATCGATCGTGACAGCGCCCTCTAAGCAAATCCGACCCCAACCGACACCACATGCTCCGGCTGCGTTTCTAAAGAAAACTCGCGAGACCAGACATTCATTCGGTGCAAATAAGGTTGGCAAAAAGCGACATTCGGTCGCATTTCTTCTTTTCCGGGCTAACCGCACGAAAACGATCAAATTGCCAATTACAAATTATTAACAAATCACGGCATTTTCAGATCTTTTTTAATTTTGAGATTTCGTGGCGCTTAGAACCGCAGCCCCAGCCCGGTTAGTGGAGATGAACATGGAGTGCGACCTGGTCTGCGCAGCGCAGGGTCGTCGGGGGCTCTCTTACCACAGTTCTCCGAGCCCGCCGTCATGGCCTGCAGCATGCGGAAGGACCGCGAAGGGATGGCGCTGCCGGTGTACTTGCGAGGCTCGGCCACCGTCTGCTCGGAGGGAGGGACGTAGGGCTGGCTGGCACTCTCTGAAGAAACACGAAACAGAGCAGTAGTAAGGAATGGGTATTGTAACAGCCGCCATCCGATGCGGACCTAGCCTGAACCTGGGGTATCTTGTTTAGAAATCAGAGCAAATCCTTTGCTAGGCTTTGGCCGTGTAGAAAACGAGCCCCAGGCTGTAACGCCGGACTCTCCCTCCTGAGGCGAAGGCAGTCAACCGAGGGGGAAACGACTGAGAAATTTTGTGTACATCGGATAGGGATAACCCCGGATAGCCCGCGGATTACCTCCGGATTACATCGAAAAATTTCCAGGATTACCATTGGATTACGCCGGATTACCCCGGATTACCTCAGAATTTCCCCGGATCACTTCGAAATTTCTGGTTATCCGGATAGCGGATAACCAATTTGCTGTACATCGGATAACCGAAGTCGTTTCCCCCTCGCAGTCAACCCTACTCTCATGCGCATGTGGTTCTGGTTCTGATAACACGTTTTTTACGGTGACAACTTTTTTTTACCGACCTTGCACAGCCTGCTGGGCAGCGCGCACGGCGGGAGAAATGCGGCTAGGCATGGGGGCACCTGCAAAGAGAAAAGAGTGCGTCAGATTCATTTTCACATTTATTTGCCACAGCCGAGTTTTGAAACAACACCAGCAACTACAAAAAAATAGCAGCAACTTGTACGCAGAATAGGGTCCCATTCCACTCGGCTACTGCATGCGCTGCAAATCTAAAACTGAACACTCCACTCAAAGCAGTGAACTCAAAAGGATCGCAAGCGGGTTCACTCAACACACAATGGATGTCACAAGCTCTTGGAAACGAGATGGCGTGCGTCGTTCCATTATCACAATCTTTTCTAGGAATTCATTTTGCTCTAAGAGCAGAGGGTCATCTGGAATGGGAGCACACACGGGAAAACTATCGTACACCTTGAAAGCAGCTATCCTGCTGGACAGTTGTTAGGAAAGCAATGCAAAACACTCTAAGAAGACAGCCAGTCTTGAAAATCAGCCAATCTATCCTGTCTCACATCCAAGCAATCACGGAAACGACGACAAAGGAGCTCTATGCAGTGCGCCACGCCATGCTTTGCTCGCCCACAAGTAGCGACCCATACTTCCGTCGTCTTCGCCCGTCATGTTCTGCAACATCCGGAAGGCCCTGGACGGGATGGCCGCGCCTCGGTACCGCGGGTCAGCCTCCTGGTGCAGGTAGACCTCGTCGTCCACTGCGGGGCCGGACAACGTGACGTCATCAAACTTTTCCTACTTTAATTAAATTAAACCTTGACCTCGCTGCTGAAGTAAGTTAACCTCGCAAGTACATGGAGTTCAAGGGTCTGACTTTGTTCCTGGGCTATGTGTCTGTAACTCACCCTGCGCTTTGAACCTGTTCATGAGGGCGCGGTCCTCGTCGTTGAGCTGCAGCTTCCGGAGCTGGGCTGCGTTCATCTCGTTCATGCGGCCGGGCTGCTGGTCGCGGGGCACGGACCCGTCCCTGTCGTCTGCAACACAACCCTGCCTTTCTGAGACCAGACACAAACCTACTGCTGTAGTAGTAAAGGCCCACCACAGTCACAGGCGGCCATTTTGGACCCCCCATAGTCGTGGCCTAAACGACCTGAGCGGTTATAACCTTACACAACCTACGGTGGGCCAAGATGGCCGCGCCTATGGGGGACCTTAACTACTAGTTCCAACTTATTACAACACATGAACATGAAAATTTCCTAACCCACTGAGGGCAAAGATCAGTAATGTATCGTGCAAAGCGTCACAAGAGGATAGGCGTTGACAGCCTTCCGGGCTTTACACGAGAAGCTTTACACTGAGAGACAGCAACGACACAAAATGACGTGTTGAGGAGGTCAACAGACTTTCATTTTCAGCTGGTAGGTGCCAAAAGAGGTCGAATGAATGGTGAGCACTGGGTTAGCGCCCCTCAATGAAGTAAAGTCTTTGCCAGGAACGTTGGTTCCTCAAGCACAATAAGCATGCAACGAGTGCACGCTTACCGTCCCGGTCCGTACCCGTGATCTTCTGCAGGACGCGGAACGACTGCGACTGCACTGGCGGTGGACTCGCGCCCCACTCTGGACCGCTGCGACAAACAGTAAACAAAGTTCGTTGGACAAATATTGACACCGCAAATGGAAGGATTCGGAAAAAATTTTGATTTCTTTACAAGTCTTAGATACGTAGGTTCTTCAGGGTGTAAGTTTAAGCTGACCTGTTGTACTGCTGGGGAGCACCCATGGGCGCCATGGGCCGTCTCTGCTGTTGAAATTGTGGTTGCTGCTGTTGAAATTGTTGTTGCTGTGGGTGCTGCGGGTGGAGGGGCTGCCGGATTGGCGGGCTGGTGGTGCCGTTGCTGGAGGAGGGGGACTCGAACTGGATGGGGATGACTCGCTCGCCCGGCTGCACCGCGGGGGAGGGTGGCTGCTAGTGGGAAGAGGCACGTTTCAGCAAACTCAGCGCAGTTACGGAAATCAAAGATCGAGTAGAAATCTCAGAGGGTCTCACCTGCACCGTCCTCCACGGAGCTTGCTGTGACTGTTGTTGTTGGCGCTGCTGTTGCCGCAGCTGCTGTTCGCGCTGCCACTGCGACAGGTGCGCCTCCTGGGGCGTCTGCGGGGTGTGGGCCCCGCTGTGGGGGCCACTGTGGGGGCTCGCTGGCTGGGGTGGCTCGCGGCCCTCGATCTACCACACGGAAAAGGCGCCGTTGTTGGACAGTGTTTATTATTATTATTTTAACTACGTAAAGTGCAAGGACATGCGATAGTCATGCAAAGCAACCCGATTGGAAGAGAAAGGGAGGAAAGCGCCAGTTGCCTAGAAATCTAGGAAGGAACGAACTGGACACATTGTCACGAACAAGACCTCTTACAATGGTGACAAATTTTGAAAATTTAATGATTTTTCGCTGCGAGATCATTGCAATATAATGCCATTTCGTTACTTCCGAGATAAGGATACGAGTTCGGTTAATAGCTTGGACTGATGGGGTTAGGCAACACTACACACACTACCCCATCACCTGGATCGGTATGATACGCGCTCCTGGCTGCGCCGCGGCTGGTGACGGTGGTTGTCGGACCTGCTGCATGTACTGCGGCTGCTGCTGCTGTTGTTGCTGCTGCTGCTGCTGCTGCTGGTAGTTGCTGCTCATCCAGGGCGTGGGCGCCTTGTTGAGCGCGGCCTGCGGGGACGCCGGGCTGAAGTGCTGGCGCTGCGGGGGCGGCGGCGGCGACGCCGAGTCCGTCATGTCCGCCACGGGGGGGATGTACAGGGAGCCGAGCTGCGCGCGAGACACGGCCGGCGGGGCGGGGCTGGGCTGCGCCGTGGCCTGCGCCGCCACCGGGGCGATGTAGAGGCTGCCGGGCTCGGCCTGTGGGAGCACGTTGACTGTCAGCTTGAACTGAGAGTCGCTGACGGCGACCTCGGCGACCTCGGCGACGTACCTGCGGCTCTCTCCTGAGCGGGGCGATGCCGGTGGGCCTCAGGTTGGCGGCCGTCTGCTGCACTGCCTGCGCCGACACGGACGCCTGCGCGCCCCCCAGAGGCGGCGCGAAGCTGGGCGGCGGCGGCTGCGGCGCGGCGGGGAACTGCGGATCAGAGCAGGGCCATGTTAGCGGCGTCTCCGTCTCTCTTGCAAGCGTGCAGTGCGAGAGGGACCCTACCCTGCTCTGCGCGGGGCCGGCGCCGAAGCCCCCTGACGGCGGCGGTGGCGGCGGCGGGGGCAGCACCTGCACGGGGAGGTTGGGCTGCATGGCGGCCTGCGCGGCGGGCGGCAGCGGACCGTGCTCCTGCTGTGCCGGCAGCGGCCCCACGCCCTCGTCCGCCATGTTGCGGTTGATGCGGCGCTGTATCCGCGGCGACCGGATCTGCGAGAGGTCCAGGCCGCCGGGGGTGTACGTGAAGGGCTTCTTGTCCTTGGTCATCATGGCGTTCTGGATGGCCGCCGGCGGCTCACCCGGCGCCGTCGGCTTGGGGCTGCGTCCCCGGCTCTCGATCTGCGGCAAAATAGTTTGTCAGTCTTAAAATTGAACTTTGAATCGAAGTCGTCCCACACAACTTCTCTATCCTGGTTTACTTCACTGACCTCCGAACTGATCCGCATGCTGGGGATGCCTCCGACCCCGAGGCCCGGTGGTGGTGGAGGCGGCGGCGCTCCGAACGGGGGTGGTGGCGGCGGCGGGGGGCCATTGCCTGGAGGGACAGCACCACGCGTTTAAGACACGGCCACCGCTCACTGCCAATCCAAGTGTGAGCGACTGTGCCACTCTTGGATTTGCAGTGTACGTCGGCGCCTGGCTACGCTATGCCGCACCCTGCGGTAGTTTTTCACTCTGACAGCCCCACTCTGCCAGCAGGCCCGTTCTGAACAGTGCTTCTTTCTCACTCGGTCTCTAGCACACCTCTGACCTCATGAGTGCGAGAGAGCCAGAGCGATGAGAGTCCGCCCCGCTGGATAAAGAACTAGCCAGGCGAACGAGTGAACCCTTTGGGAGACGGGCCGGGCCAGGCGCCATGGCTCAGCCCTGCTTTCGGTGGGGCGAAGCCATCCAAGCCAGCCCAGCCAGCCCAGCCAGCCTGCCAGGAGCGTGCGTCCGCATGGACGTTTCCAGGAGGCACGCACACAGTTAAAAAGAGAGACGGACCGAACTGACTGATCATCTGTTGTTATTCGCCAGTCCACCAGCTCGTCCACTCCTTTGTGTTCGTGGCGCGAAATTTTTCCCGTTCTTCCCCTCGTCATTTTTTGCGAGTTCGCCTGTTCGCTGGCTGCTATACTTACTGGAGTCGGTGACGTCAGGGCTCAAGGACTCGCCCGCCTGCTGGCTGCTCTGCCGTCTGCAACAATGAAGGACCCACAGGACATGAATATCGTAATCGAAGTAAGGCACGTCGGTCGCAAAGGGCAGAGGAACAGTCGCGGCGGGGCGGGGCGGGGCGGGGCGGGGCGGGGCGGGGCGCGGCCTGGAGGACTAGCGAGGGGGACGCCACGCTCTGTGCGGCGGCGCGGCGGCGCGGTGGCCCTGAGGCCACGGCGGCAGTCGCAGAAGACGTCTGCATGTCCTCATATGGTCATACGGCCAAGTCTGTTTTCTTTCTTGTTTGCTCTCCGTCTCTCTCGCGCCTTTGCTCGCTCCGTCCCTCGCTCCTCTCTTCCTTGTTTTCGAACTCACACGGACGCGCACACACACATACACGGCGCGTGGTGCTAAACAGCTGGCCAGTAACGAAATCGGCTGTTCTGTTTGGTGAGTCGAATGGGAGAGCATAAGCGTCTGGTTAGCGCGCAATATTCGTAAATTTTAAAAGGATGACTGTCAACTGCACTGTTGTTGTTTCCTTGCTCGGCAGTCATTGCCTAAGGTCGGATGACTGCAGCTTGAACCCGGAGGTAGTGTCCTTCCGTGCTGCTTAGGCAACACTTACGGGTCCGTGTAGAAGACGACGTACTCGAAGCAGGGCAGCGGCCGTCGCTGGGACCGCGTGCGGGGGGGTCTCGTGGGGGCGGGGGCGAGGATGGGGCTCAGGGCGAGCTCCATGGCGGCGGTCTATCGGGGCGGTCACGGTCGCGTCAGGACGTCAGCGATGCCCCGCGCGACGCGGCGTAAATTGGCGCGTCGCGTGGAGTATCGACAGGGCCACGGTCGTCAAATTGAGTCGAAACGTCGGCAAATCGTCCCGATATGAGACAGCCGATCATGCCCGTCCGGTTGGACTGCGTTGCGTGTGGCGCCGAGCCAAGCACCGACCCCAGAGGTCGCGCCAGAGGTCACGACAACGGTTGCCCGTGAACCGCCCGCCGCGCTACAGTTTGTTGTTGTTGTAGTTGTTGTTGTTGTTGTTTTTGTTGTCGTTTGCTCGCGTTAAAGTCTTTCGTCGCGCCGTCCAATGACCACTCAAACGGAGCGACGCGGACAGGGCGCCTCTGTCCGTCCCACTGTTCATCAGGAGCCGTCGGGACTTGAGTCACACTGCACTTGGGTGGGGTTTCGCTAAAGCTGCGTACACACTGGAAAATCAAGGAGCGGCCGTCGAAAGTCGGGGGGGCAGGGGGATCGAGACGCACTAGGTGACTGCAGCAGCGCGGCACTCGGGACGCGAAGCACACGGCTGCCTTGGCCACGCGCCGGATGCGGCGGCAACGGGCGGCAACACACGGCGGACTGATCCTAGTCCACACTAAGCCTCCATGGATTCCAGCAAGTGAAGCGATTGGCGTCGCCCCCTCCCCCTCCCGCCCCTGGCGTCCCCGACGTCCGCGACGTCCACAAGCCCGCGGGGCTGCAGGCGCCGGCTCGGCTCGGCACCGCACCGGCCGGCGCGGCTCGGCTCGGCACGCCTCCGGCTCGGCTCGGCTTTGTCTAAATGCCGCACTTATTCACTTGGGCCGCGACTTATCGGGGTGGGGCGGGGCGGGGCGGGGCGGGGCGGGGCGCCGCTCAAAAACGGAACGGTTGGCCCAAGCCGCGAGCCCACGCCGCCGCAGCCGGCCCACGCTCCCACGTGCGCGATCGGCTGTTCCCAAAAGTGCACGCGGACAAGTGCCTCATTGTTGGGTGCGGACGGAACGCGTCACTAAAGTTTGGGGACTCCAGAAGTGTGTCACCTCGCGAACCCAACCAAACTCCTGACCGTCCTCTTACATCGCATCCCCCTGCTCGGACACGCTTTGTTGAGCGTCTTCCTGGCCTCGAATCACCCCGCCCCGCCCCGCCCCGCCCCGCCACGGAAATAATCCCGTCGCGCGGCGTATTTTTAGCGTGGCGCGGCGGTCCGGTCGGAGCGCGATGCCACGATGCGCTATCCGCGGGGGCTTGGCGTTCGCGGCGTTCGCGGCGTTCGCGGCGGTCGGCGGCGGCGCTCTCACGCGCGGTGACCACCAAGCCGATCGTCTTGACCACGAATCGGAGCGGCCTTCACACCGGCGGGGTTGAGGCTGCGCCAGGCCCTTGCGCTAAGTAGCCAAATAGCCAAAGTGTTGGCTGCCCCGACGGTCGCCCGACGGCCAAGCCGACCGCCAAGCCGACGGCGACCCGGCGCCAAGCGCGCCAAGTGTCACTAGGCGTCGCCGCGGCGCGTGTGCTCTGGCAAAAATACAGAAATACATTTCGCTACTATTTCGCGTTGTCGTTTTTATCTCTTCCGTGGCGGAAGAGTTTGCAGTGCGGGGAAGCCGGTTTGCGCGCGGCAAGTTTGTTGTAGTTCGGGGCTTAAATAAGACGGACTGGCCGCTCGGTGAAGGCGTGAGAGTGAGGAGCGGACCGCCGAGGCCACACTGCAAAAAGTCCCCTCTACCTCAAAATCAACAAGAAAATTAAGGCATGTTAAGGCGAAGCCACGACATGTTTCAGAGCCTCTTGACAATTAATCTGCGGCGAGACCGTGAGAGCCCTCCCAAGCGGCGGCAACTGCAATGCCGAGTGCAAGTCTGCAAGTTGATCCGGGGCGACCCACAGTGGGCCAGAAGACCGGTGGAGGCGGCCAAAACTCTAGACGCGTTTTGAGCTCCAGAGTCGCTAAAGGGGACTCGAATCGAACGTGTGACCCCACCAATGGATTCCTCGTTCGGAGAGCAATCCTTTGGTGGGGTCACACGTTCGGTTCGAGGCCTGTTTAGCGACTCGGGAGCTCAAAACGCGTCCAGAGTTTTGGCCGCCTCCGCTGGTCTTCTGGCCCACTGTGCGACCACACGCTGAGGACCACAGTACGTCGGCTCGGCCGAGCGCTAAAGGCACGCGGCTTAGGTTACCGACATGGCGTCGCTTAGGGCCGACACGACATTCACTCCTCGTGCAGCGTGCATTCTATGGGATCATCTTTTCATGTTTAACTGGATAAGAGTTTTAAGACCCGTCCGGAAATTTGCAAAAGGCCCGTCCGACTGGGATTTCGTTCGCCACAACTGAGAACAGTCAGTTTTGACTTTTCACAGTGTGCAGCACAGACAAGTTGTGCTGACTATCGAGAAGAAGCCTCGCCGGAACCTTTCCTCGACATTAATCTGTGTGACTTGCCGTCGGCGGGCTCGGCGGGCCGGGCAGGTCGAAGGGCTACTTTCTCCCGATCCTCTTGAGAAAGGGAAGGCGATGGTGACCTTGACCACCCGCGCGCCCTGGAGGCGCACTGCAGGGGCACTGGAAGGGCCTGTCACTGGAACACGCCCACTGTCAGGGGACCGGCCGTAAACAACGAGGGCTAGGTCAGCCTCGGCTGACAGGCACACCACACTCAACGGATGGATGGATGGATGGATGGGTAGATGGATGGGTGGATGGATGGTTGGATGGATAGATAGAGGCTTTTTCAATCCAAGCCCATGTTTCAAAATTTGTCATTGTTGTTGTTGTTGTTGTTGTTGTTTGAAGTTCGTATGAAAGTGAACGATTCGTCCAAAAATTGGCAACAACATTTTCCGCCTGCTGCTGGTGCTCACTTACATGATGCTCTCGAGCTGCTTGTAAATGCCCTGGTCCTCGCGGACGCGCTCGGGCGGCAGGGCGTCCACGATGCTGTTGGCCTGGTCGTTGTAGCCGCCCAGCATGCCCCTGTACATGTTGTACACGAGGCGGCGCACCGCGGGGTCCGAAGGGTCCACCTTGGTCGGGGCCATGTCGTTCGCTTTTTACTACAGGCGAATGATTCACACGCCGCGCCGCGTTCCCATTGTCTAGGCCGTCGAGATGGTCGAGACGGCGAGGCTGGCCGTAAGAGCGAAGCCCCGCTGGAGGAGAACGACCGAGTCATCATGAGCATGGGCTTCGAATTCCGCGAGGAAAGAGGAATGGTTTGCTTCGGAACGACTTGAAATGGCGGGTTCGCGAGGGGTCAGCCACTCTAGTAATCGTGTGTCTACACTTCGTCCAGTAATCATTGGAAATCACACGCCAAAACTGGCTATTTTCGCCGTTTTTATCGGATTTTGGGGGGTTTTCTTATGAAAAATGCTCTTGGCTGGCCCAAATTATTGAGTTTTTTGAGTATTTTTGTAGGTAATCACTGGTAATCAGTAATCCTGTGTACACTCCTGAGCTGAGTGGTTGACCCCTCGTGGGTACACGCCTTCCCGGAAGTAAATTTGAAAGAAACTTCAAAAGAGTCTGACGGTATGTGCGAAAATTTTAAAAGTTGCTTAGCGACGCACAAAACCCCCACCCAGCCCGTAGTCGTCCCTGTCCCACTCACGGCGCGTTCTCTGCGGGTGCGAGAGAGACTAGAGCGTTTCGCCGAAGACCCGCGTGCTAATTGTGGCGTGACATCACCGGGCCACCTGGGCGAAGGCGGCTAAGGCGAAACCGGTCCGGAACCGGGAATGCCGCTGTGGCGTATTGGATCGGACAAGCGGCACGGCAAAGCAGACAAAGACGTTCGAAACCGCGCACTGAACTGACAGTGGCAACCGTGGCAAACCCGAAGCCCGACCAGGAAAAACAATTATTATTTTTGAGTGAAACTTATCGTCCCAAGTGGCCTTGACCATTAACAAATCTAACACCAGACCCTTGCTCTCGAACCTTGCAAATTCACACCACGAAGTTTGGCAGTGTCCCACCACGCCCCTCTGCATATTGGAATTGGATTCCTTTTGACTGCCCTTCCCCCTCTCCCTTCCCCCTTCCCTCCCCCTCCCTTCCCCTCGCTTAGCCGATAGCGACCGTCTGATTAGATCCGGCAGTGTGCACTTCCTTCCGACCGGGCATTCATGCCACTCGCAAAAAAAAATAAGAACCCTCAAAATATTATCATTTTATTTTAACTTTGGCCGAAAAACATTGCCCTCTTTCAACAAATAAAAATTGTACACACTGAGAAAACCTTACAAACTATTTTCGGCCTTACAAAGAAAATTAGTTTGTATAACAAAGTATTTTGAGCATACAAAGAAAATACTTCGTAATTTACGAACTATTTCTTCGTATAACAAAGTATTTTAGTTTGTTATATGTATGCTCAAAATTCTTCGTAAGGTTTTAAGAGTGCATGTAGGTAATTTTGTTTTTTTTGACTGAGCGAAAAATCATTTTCGAATATTTGAACCCTCTAGCTAAAACATAGCGCGAAAAGCTTGAATTTAAATTCAGGACATAGCGCGTTAATCGGGAACGTAGTGACTAAACCCCGAGTCACATCCTTTCGGGAGCGTGACTCCGCGCGTTACACAAGCGCAGCAGCAGCACACGCGGATACGGTCCCGTCCAGTCTGATTCCGAACTCGCTTCGTCGCCATCCGTCTCTCTCGCACCTCTCTGCGGAACGACCCCGCACAGTGGGCCAGAAGACCGGCGGAGGCGGCCAAAACTCTAGACGCGTGCAGAGCTCCAGAGTCGCTACATGGGACTCGAAGCGAACGTGTGACCCCACCAATGGATTGCTCTCCTAACGAGGAATCCATTGGTGGGGTCATACGGTCGATTCGAGCATTGTTTAGAGACTCTGGAGCTCAAAACGCGTCTAGAGTTTTGGCCGCCTGCACCGGTCTTCTGGCCCACTGTGGCCCGCGAGTGCGAGAGAGACGGGGCGACGAAAGCGCTGCTGTTGCGCCTGCCGCGGGCCCGCCCCGCCTTGACCTTCGGTCCAGCTGGAGTGGCCGGCGCGCCGCGGCGCCAGCCTCCAGTCAGTCACTGCCTTAGCAGTGCCGTAGCAGTGCGGTGCCTGCCTTCCGGAAGTCATCGACACTGCTGGAGGATGCCGGCTCCCTTCCACCCGCGAGCGGGCCGGGCCGGCGGTCACATCATGATTCAGAAGCAGCGTTGCATAGTGGGCCAAAAGACCGGAGGAGGCGGCCAAAACTCTAGACGCGTTTTGAGCTCCAGAGTCGCTAAACAGGCCTCGAACCGAAAGTGTGACCCCACCAATGGATTCCTCGTTCGGAGAGCAATCCATTGATGGGGTCACACGTTGGGTTCGAGTCCCATTCAGCGACTCTGGAGTCTGGAGCTCAAAACGCGTCTAGAGTTTAGGCCGCCTCCACCGGTCTTCTGGCCCACTGTGCGGTGTCAACGCTAAATCTCTCAGTCGCCGACTGTGGCTCGGGCGTGCTTTTCTCGCGAGCCAGCACACTGCAGCCTCAGCTAGGCCTCGGACTGCACAGGCACGCGGCGCATATTCGAACGACGTGACGAGGACAGGCAGCGCGCCTGAGTCACACAGTGCAGCAGAGTGGGTGAAACCGGACGCGCCTCGCCACTTGAAATTGCAGTTCATGGTGGAATTCCGACTTCTTGGAATTACATCTTGCCCGGTTCCCCTCACCATAAATCTCAAAAGCAAACCATATTCCTTTTTCCTCGACGTTAAATTATTTTCTCATCGATGCATCCATTTCACTTCACTAAAGCGCTGCTCCGAGGTAACAAAGTAACTCTCTTTCGAAAATAACAACGATAGGCGCAAGCGCGCACACACACACACGCCTACATACACACCTACACACACTCTAAAACACACCGACACTCGCGTTCACAGAGACGGGCACTGAGGGACTGGTCCCGATTCCGAATCGGCCGGTTTTGAGGGCAGCGGATCGGTCTGCCTGCCTCGCGGGTACCCAACAACAAACTGACTGACTCCCGACGTACCGGCCGACCGCCTGCTTACTCAGTGTGGGCCGGGTCGGCCGGAGCCTCCGCCCCGCCCCGCCCCGCCGCGCCCCGCCCCGCCCCGCCCCGCCCCGCCCCGCCCCGCCCCGCCCCGCCCCGCCGCGCCCACCAGCCCACCGCACGCCGGGTCGGGTTGAGTGTCAAGTCCAGCGCGGCGTGGTGGACACTGCACTGGGTGGGCACTTGGTAGTAGAAGAGTGTCGCACCGAGTCCGTATCGCACGGAGCCCTTCCTCACAACAATAACAACAATTCATTATATTTGATTTATTTTCCAGCAGAGCTGCGGAGCTGACTGCACTCGTAGAGCCAAAATGGACGACGTCTTAAAGTTTTTCGTTGTGCGGTGCAAAAAATTATTGTACTCGGCTTCCTCGTTCGGGGAACGGACTGCCCCCCCCCCTCCCCTTTTCCGAATCAGAGTGACGGAAACTCTCATTGTTTGAACCGGTCGGAATTCCCGGCGAGTTGCGTCCTCGGCGGACCGGCTGGAACTTTCCGAGCCCTTCGCCTCTCCTTGTCCCCCTCCAGGCCCTCAAGGCCGCACGCCCTACCTGTCCTTGTCTGTCTGCCTGCCTGTCCGCCTGTCTGTCTGTCTGTCTGTCTGTCTGTCTGTCTGTCTGTCTGTCTGTCTGTCTGTCTGTCTGTCTCTGTCTCTGTCTGTCTGTCCTGTCTGTCTGTCTGTCTGTCTGTCTGTCGCTGTCTGTCTGTCTGCTGTCGCGTGTCTGTCTGCTGCTTCTGTCGTGCTGTTGTCTGTCTGTCGTGTCTGCTCTGGTCTGTCTGTCTGTCTGTCTGGTCTGCTCTGTCTGCTCGCTGTCGCTGTCTGTCTGTCTGTCGTCTGTCTGTCTGTCTGTCTGTCTGTCTGCTGTCGTCTGTCGTCTGTCTGTCTGTCTGTCTGTCTGTCTGTCTGTCTGATCGCCCGTATGTCTCTTCTGCTGTTCGTCTTCTGTCGCTTCGGAAAGCATGCGCTTCGGTGGGTCCCGTCGGTCGTCGCATTTACGACTCTAGCTCGAACACGCGTCGCACAGTTGGCCGCTTGACCGGTCTTCTGGACTGTGCGGCGGTGTTTTGCGAGTCTAACTCTGCGCGTTTTCGCAGCTCCTGCGAGTCGCTATGGACCGAACCGAACGTGTGCGCCCACCAATGGATTGCCCGTTCGGAGAGCAATCCATTGGTGGGGTCACACGTTCGGTTCGAGTCCCATTTAGCGACTCTGGAGCTCAAAACGCGTCCAGAGTTTTGGCCGCTTCCACCGGTCTTCTGGCCCACTGTGCGGCGGGGTTTTTGCAAGAGACTAACACTGCCATTCATTCGCGCTGACGGCCAGCGAGTGACTTGCGAGAATCCTAACAGTGTGGAGGTCCTTTAGCCAGGACGCCACCACAGCCAGGCCAACCCAATTTCAGCGTGAGACAAAACGTGACGCCACACTGTAAGGGTGACGGTCGTCTTTTGCAGTGTACGCCCGCCAAAGCCGCCTAATCAGGCCCACTGCAACACCCAAAGCCACACGCGCGACGACGCACTATCAACACTACCGCGCTTTCTTCGCTCCGTCTCTCTCGCACCCACAGGGCGTTGTTGTCGTCCATCCGATAGGTGTCCGTTCTCGTGGCATTGGCATTCGAGTCGGGGGGCGAGGCCGGCCGCATTTACCCGAGCGTCTGTCTCTCTCGCACCCATACGGGACGCCCCGTGAGTGCGAGAAAGACAGAGCGACTAAAACGACTCTCGGAACCAGTCGCCGTTCCCACAGTCCGAGGTGTCCCTCCTGGACCTGGCGGTCCACAGTGGGCCAGAAGACCGGTGGAGACGGCCGAAACTCTAGACGCGTTTTGAGCTCCAGAGTCAGTAAATGGGACTCGAATCGAATGTGTGACCCCACCAATGGATTGCTCTCCGAACGAGGAATCCATTGGTGGGGTCACACGTTCCATTCGAGTCCTGTTTAGCGACTCTGGAGCACGAAACGCGTCTAGAGTTTTGGCGGCCTGCACCGGTCTTCTGGCCCACTGTGCGGTCTGACGGCAGTCAACAAAGCCACGGCACACGTCGCGCCGGAAGTTCCATGAGACATTTCCAAAACGGATCAGCCGTATTGACAGATTAAACTTTTTGCAGTGCGGTGGTGCGGTGCTCTCGAGATAAAAGGCACCCCAGCGCGCTTAGTGCTGGAGGAGGAAATTCGGGCGCGTTTTGCGGCTCGCAAACAATCTCTGGGAACAGTTAGTTACACAATGCAAGCCGGGGATGGGGGCGGGGCGAGGCGGGGCGGGGCGGGGCGGGGCGGGGCGGGGCGGGCGGGGCGGGGCGGGGCGGGGCGGAACGCCCTGCCGCTGCACAAGTTAGAAATAGCAGCCTCGCCTTCCCTCGGCCGGTCGGGCGTCGGGCGGCCGGCCTCTGGTGCGCCACCCCGACCCGCAGCCCTCGCCACAGTGAGCGGCCCGTCCACCAAAAAGGGGAGCCGCCGCCGGCGGGATTCGAACCCACGCCGCCTCCGTGATGTCACCGACGGCAGGCGAGCGAGTCGAAGCTGGACGAGGAAACGGAAGTGGTTGTTCCGTTCCCCCGGCAGCTGTCTCGCCGAAAACGCCGTGGAGGCAGGCAACGTGCGTCACGGAGCGCGTCGCCGTGGAGATGGTTGCCTACCTCAGCCCCGCGCTACCATTACCATTAAGGGCTAGACCACACATGATCGTCAAACAACGATCCACTGACAACACGGCGTCGTCTGGGTTGACACGTGCCTTCAAACACACGCCCACACACGACGCGCGTGGTGAGGAAGGTTTGGCTCACTTTTCGTTTGCCACTCGGATAGTAATTGCGGCGACTCTGTTTTGGAATGGAGAGACGGAGTGAGCGTTATCGAAGACGGAGCGTGCCGGGGCGACCGCGTCCGCGCGTCCGCCCGTCCGCCCGTCTGTCTGTCTGTCCGTCTGTCCGTCTTCTGTTTGGGCGGTTTTCCGCTCGCCCGCATGGAGTCGGCAGATTAGAATTGGGCGACGGCGGAGCCAACCTTTGAGCTCTCCAGCCCGTTCTCAAAGAAAGGTGGCGGTGACAACAAAGCCGACGTCAAATCAACAAAATCTGATGCCTGCTAATGTAATTTTGACTAAGTGGAAACCGTTTGTAGCCAAGGCCGTAAGAAAAGAACGTTTGCCTTTTGCCTGCCTTGATCGACTTGGGGTCGCGTGTGCGGCAAAAGTGGCGGAGTTGCATTGGAGGCCACGTGGACTGCGAGGGGTGACCCACTGTAAAATTTTGTGTACAATGATTGTGCGAATGTGCAAGAATGTGCAAGATTTCTGGCGTTTTTGTCACACATTTTGCCTACTTACAGGCGGTTTTGCCTCCTGAATGTGGAATGTGGTCAAATTTTGTACAACGAATGTGGGTGGCTGTTCCCCCCTGACTGTCTCTCTCTCACTCACCTCCAGGGCGCCGGGTCGCTCATGCTGCTAGTCCCAGTGGGTCGTAAGACAGCGTCGAGCACAACCACACACGCACTCTCGCACTCTCGCTGCCCGTCGGCGGGTTGTTCACTCTCGCGAGGGCATCGGAGTCGGTTGGGGTTTAAGGGTTCGGCCGCCGCGGCGGCGGGGCGGCGGGCGGTTCTCGCGCGGGTTGCCTACCGGCCCGGCATGCCGACGACAGCTTTCGGACGGGTTCGCGCAACCACGGTCTCCCTTCCGACTGCCGGCCGAAGTCGTGGACCGCGTGTGGCGCCCGGCCTAGGCCCTGCGGTCCGTGTTCGCGAGGGGGCCGCGAGCTGGGGGGGGGGGCGCTAAGTGGAGGGGGTGGGGGCGATCCCCCCTCGAAGGGGTAGCCGCGCCCTGCCTTGCTATTCATACTAGTTGAGATTTTCGATTCCCCCTCCACCCCCTGGCTGTCCCTTCGGCGACACACCGCAAGCGCACGACCGCGCGACAGGCGTATAGCTTCGTGTGCGTGTCTTCGTCGCACTTTGAGCGTGCTTCGCGGCGTGCTTCGGCGGGTGCCAAAGCTCTGTTCGAAACAATAGGAAGGGGCGGCAAGGGCTGGTCGGCTGGCTCATCGCACATCTGGCCATCAGTCCCTTCGTCAGCCACGGGCGCGATTCGAGCGTGCGTTCGTGTGTGTGTGCGTGCGCTTTGGTTTGCGCGTGTGTGTGAGTGTGCGTGCGCTTTGGTTTGCGTGTGTGTGTGAGTGAGTGTGTGTGTGTGTGCGTGTCTTTCTAATCTGGGAGCATTGTTTGTTGTTCAGGAGCGTGGCTGATTCAGACTGAACCCTTCCCCTCGGCTCCTCGCCGTGTCCCTGGCCTGTGCAACGCTGCTCGTCTGTGTGTGTGTGTGTGTGTGTGTGTGTGTGTGTGTGTGTGTGTGTGTGTGTTTGTGTGTGTGGGGGGGGTGAATCAGTTTGAATGTATGACACAATCGGTCTTGCACGCTGAACGCTTTCCAAAGTACTTCCCGGACACAGAGGCGTTATTTTTGGAGCAGTGACTCAGGGCGCCATTTGAGGAGTGCCAATTACAGCCCGAAAAAAACCCTCACAAAAATTTCGCCAAATTCGGCAACGATGCTTCGGCACATAATTTTATTTTCCGTCGCAAAGTTTAACGAGTTTACCGCGCTTTGAGGTTTTTGCCAAAGAACCTGCGACGCTTTGTGATACAGTACTAGTGTAGCGGAGCCACCCAGCCAGGTTGCCGGTGGCAATGGCACTGCCAGGACACTGCCAGGGCTCTGCTCACCTGGTCGGCGCCCCCAAGGGCCCCGCCAAGGACCCCGCCAAGGGCCCCGCCACGCGGTGTGTTAGTAAACCACTTCGTTGGAAAGCAACGAACGTGTCACACAGCTGATCGGTACGATTCCTCCTAGTTGATTGCTATGTGCTGTGATAGCCGAGAGGTTAGAGACGTAGGAACACAACAGCAAAGGATAGCATTCGACTACCAGCAGCTGAACCTTTTTCAGACTGGCTGCTCTACGGGGGCGGTTCACAACCATCAGAGCGGAGCCGAGTGCAACAGCACCACAAGTCGGAGGTTCAACTCCCAACAAATATTTGCATTTAATTTTACTGCCTCACCCAGTGGTTCAAAACCCGTGACCTAACCTAACCAACGTTTTTAGCGGATGATGCATACAGCCACCGAGCCAGCCCGTCGCGGGCGGCGCGGGCCGGGGCACTTTGTAGTACCTCCGTACAGTGCCTCCGTACAGTGCACCCGCGCAGGAATAGCAGCGGGTTGAACGATCACTCCGCTTTCGCGTGTGCCGCGCCGCCACCTGTACACGCGTCAGACGAGCAACACACTGACGGACTTTTGGGAACAACTTATTCGAAATTTTCGTTTGCAGTGTAGGCAGCCCGCCGACACGGCTGCGTCCGGGACAGCCTACCCGCCAGGCGCTTCAAGCGACCCTGTTTCTACCGAGGGGGTAACCACTCGCGTAATACCCTGATCACAGAACACGTGTATTACGCATTATGTATGTGATCGTAATACCATTTTTGGGTCAAATAGGCCAAATTTTGGCATTTTGAGGTCGTAATACACGTGTAATATTCCCGTAATACCGCACCGAGTAGTCCGTACACGATTTATTGACGTGGTTACCCCCTCGGTTTCTCCTGTTTCCGCGTTGCTGAACGACGGTTCGCTCTGTCTCTCTCGCACTCATTGGTCGTTCCGCAGGCGTGCGAGAGAGACAGCGACGGCCGTTGGGAATCGTTCTGCTGTCGCGCGTTGCCGTGGCGTTGCCGTGGGGCTGAAAGAGGGAGGTTTCGGGTTTTCGGGGCGAGGTTAGTGAGCGCACACGCACGCGCGCACCGCACGCGCCGAAAGCCACCGCCCTTCCAAACGACGAATTTACAGTGGCTCGGCCGCTCGGCCTTGCTCGGTTCGGCCGATGCACGGCTCTCTGGTGCCACGCAGTGTGCCACGCTGGCACTAATCTCGGCACCGGCCTCCGCGGCCGGGGATTTCAATAAGCCGCCAAGGCCGGCGTGGAAGGGGTGGCGCACAGTGGGCCAGAAGACCGGTGGAGGCGGCCAAAACTCTAGACGCGTTTTGAGCTCCAGAGTTGCTAAGCAGGACTCGAACCGAACGTGTGACCCCACCAATGGATTGCTCTCCGAACGGGGAATCCATTGGTGGGGTCACACGTTCGGTTCGAGTCGAGTCCCATTTAGCGACTCTGGAGCTCAAAACGCGTCTAGAGTTTTGGCCGCCTCCACCGGTCTTCTGGCCCACGCGGCGCCTGAAAGGGGGCAAAACCGGCAAAACGCCCATGGGGCCACTCTGGTTTCGCGCCCGCCGAGCGATGTCGTCTCTCTCGCACGCGCGGTGTCCCCCGGGGGTGCGAGAGAGACAGAGATCGTTGCGCGGAATGAGACAACTGGCTGGCAAGGAGTGGAGTACTCGGAGAAGGAGCACTGCTCGGGGTCGCGCAGGTCGCGCGGCGTCCCAGAAGTGTCCACATGATTTATGCCCGGCCCCGCGAAAATAGGCTTTTCGATGAATCGACGGGCACGTCGACACGGCGAGGCGCGGCGACGCGGCCAGAGGGTCATGCTCGCCGTGCTCGCGGTGCTCGCCGTGCGCACAGAGGACGGAAGTACTTTGCCCCCACGGCGTCGCGCCGCGCGCCGTCAGGAGGGTTAGCAGCAACACAACGTCGAGCCGGTGCCCCGCCCCGCCCCGCCCCGCAGGGTGCGGACGCCGCCACCGAGCTTGATGTGACGGTGGCCGCGAGGATCCCAGCCAAGAGGGCGTCTGGTCGTCCTGGCGGCGGGGCGGGGCGGCGCACGGCAGGGTGGGCGGCGTGGTGAGGCGTCGTGGCGTTAGCAGGAGACCTCGGGGCGCAGCGAAGTGTGCGTCGCGAACGGCTTCCAAGTGGTGGACGCTCGAGGCCCGACGGCCCGACGGGGTGGGGGGCGGCCGGCCCGGGCCGGGGCGGGGCGGGGCGGCGGCAGGTCCCGGCGGGGTATTTTAAGAGAACTCGCGCATCGCGGAAAATCCCTGTGGGTCCCAGCATGTAGGCGTCTCAACGACCGGCCGGCGGAGTGTCCGCGGCGTGGCGGGGCGGGGTGGGTGAGGCGTGGCGGCGAATTGTACGGGGTGTCGCTCAGGGCGGCGGTGGCCGCCGGCACGGATTACCCTTCCCGTCGGTGCAGAGGGGTGCAGGTCATGTGCTGCCCCACTGGGCCTCTTGCTGAGCAAAGGTGTCATGTCGTTCCCCGCGACGCGCGGCGGCCTCCTCGCCGCGTCGGCTCCCACTCCTCCGGGCCACAGTGGGCCAGAAGACCGGTGGAGGCGGCCAAAACTCTAGACGCGTTTTGAGCTCCAGAGTCGCTAAATGGGACCCGAACCGAACGTGTGACCCCACCAATGGATTCCTCGTTCGGAGAGCAATCCATTGGTGGGGTCACACGCCCGGTTCGAGTCCCATTTAGCGACTCTGGAGCTCAAAACGCGTCCAGAGTTTTGGCCGCCTCCACCGGTCTTCTGGCTCACTGTGCGGGCGCCACTTACCGGTCGCTGGCTCTCGCGGTGCCCGCGTTGCCCGCGGTGCTCGCGGCCCCAGGCCATGTTCCCGGCGCTGCCTGGCGAGCCTGGCGTGGGGGCAGGAAGTCCTCGGGGGTCGTCGGGAAGGCGGCGGGCAGGAGGCGCGTGGCGGGCGGGGCGGGCGGGGCGGGGGGCACACTGCGAGGGGTCCGCGGCGACGGCCTTGCTTCTGCTTCCTCCCCGCACAGCCTTTTGCGGTCGTAACGAGGATCCTCCACTGCCCGCTGCGGGGGCGGCGGCAGCGGGGGCGGCGGTGGAGGCGGCGGGGGCAGCGGCGGCAGCGGGGGCGGCTGCGGCGACGTGGTGTGGGGGCTGGCCGCCCCCGCCGCCTCCCTGCTGTCCGCGCGTCGTCCGGCCACCGCGTCGGCGCCTGCTCCCACGTGACCGTCCAGGGCGGCGTGTCCCGGCGGCCCAGCCTCGCCTGCCGCCGCGAATGCTCCAGGCGCTGCTCGAACTCGCGCCAGAAGTCCTCGCTGAGGCGCGTGCCGGGCGGGTCGTACAGCGACTGCTGCGGGGGCGGCGACGCCGGCGCGCTGGGGAGCCCGCGTCGCCAGGGACACCTGTCGATGAGGAAAGAGTCACTGTGAGTTGAACATTGTCGGTGTGAATTAAAAGCTAGTGGGAAAAGTTTTTGGCACTCAAGAAAGTTTTCTTAGGACTTGAGGAATCCTTGCCTGTGGAGGCGAAGATAGGCCACCCATCGTACTGTGTGTCCGCGCCCAATACACTGTTCCCAACGAAGCCCACCATGTCTTACTTGGGGTCCAGCTCCGTGTGCAGGTCGATGAGGTCTGGCGTCCACCCGCCTGGCCGGCACGCCGGGGACGGCGGCGTCCGGGACGTCCTCGTCGGCGGCCTCGAGTCCAGCTGCGCGCGGCACTGCTCGATGATGTTGAGCGCCTCCTCGAACTTGAGCTGGAAGGGGCTTATGTCGCCGCCGGTCGCGGGGGCGGTCGCCGGGGCCTGTGGGCGGAGCGGAGCGGGGGCGGTGGTGGTGACGGGGGCCGTGGCGGGGGTGGCGGGGCGCTCCGGACTCGGCCGCCCTCTCAGGGACTTGGTTCTCCGGGGCAGTGTGCTGCTTATCGGCGTGGTCGCCCTGTCCGCGCTGCGCTCGCGGCGACCGCCACTCCCCTCCGAGTTCCTGCGCAGCGGCCAGCCCGCCAGAGCGCGCTGCTTGTCCGTGGGCCGGACGTTGCCGTCGTCCTCCCGGTCGCCCTGGATCCACCAGGAGTCCTCGCGCACGACGCGCTGCTGCCGGCGGCCGTCGTCGGCGTCCTGCCGCATGCGGTAGTACGTGTCCACCACCCGCCGCCGCATCAGCTCGTCGTCCTCGTCGTCGTCCTGGCGGCCCCGGTTGCGCGCGTCGTCGTCCTCGTCGTCGTGGGTGTCCTCCGGCTCGGGTGTGGCGGTGAGCCGGATGGGCTCGGGCACCCTGACGGGGGTGTTGGGCCGGTCCGGCTTGGCCACGAGCAGCTCCAGGGTGCGGCCCGCGCGCCGGAACACCTCCTGCGCCTCGGACTCCAGCAGGTGCATGGCGTCCACGCCCTGGACGAACAGCACCTCGTCGCCGGGGCACAGCTGGTGGGTCGCCAGGGCCTCGCCGTCAACCTGCCGAGAGAGCGGAGCGTAAAGAGAAGAAGGCAACAGGGCGCGCAGTGGGCCAGAAACCGGCGGAGGCGGCCAAAATTCGAGACGCGTTTTGAGCTCCAGAGTCGCTAAATGGGACTCGAACCGACCGTGTGACCCCACCAATGGATTGCTCTCAGGACGAGGAATCCATTGGTGGGGTCACACGTTCGGTTCGAGTCCTGCTTAGTGACTCGGGAGCTCAAAACGCGTCTCGAATTTTGGCCGCCTCCGCCGGTCTTCTGGCCCACTGTGGGGCGGCTGCTCTGAGTCCGCCTGCGGGGCAGGCAACCCTTCGGCCGGGTGCGCTCGCAGTGCTGCCGGCGCGCGGACCGCAGGCGCGCGGGGAAAGGGGTGGGGGTGGGGGCGGGACACGGGCAAGGGTGCAACTGCTTCGCCCGCTTCGCCATGACCCACATTCCAGGATGCGTTCCTGAAAGGCCAGGAAGGGACCGGCAGGGGTCGCTGGCAGGGAGCATCCGTGAGCCGCGTAAACAGACGGGATGAGTACTGACTTTACCCAGTGCTGCCACACAAGTAGACAAAAATCCACAGTGTCGGAATGGTTGCCGGCCTCAGCCTACAGGCTCGGCAACTTCTGGAGAGCAAAGCCCTGATATTGCCGTGTGAGCTGGCTGAAGTCGACGACCATGCATGGGAATTTTTGTGGGAACACTTCACGTTCACTACGAGATGGGAAATGGCGGCAATGAACGAGAACACCGTTCTCCGCAATGGTTTTTGTATTTTTGGTGAGTTGGTGTTGCTGTGTACTAACACTCTAGGACCAGGGATCCTCCAGCAACACCCGAGGCGCGAGGGCGTGCCGCCCCGCCGCCTCCGCTTCCCCAAAATGGGCCATTGTATGTGCGATGGGCGTGTGTCCAGTGTCGCGGTGGGTCCCGAGAAGGCGCCGCCCATGCAGCCATGCAGCCTCTGCGCGTCAGCTGTCGCCAGAGGATGCTCTCACACAGCGATCGACCAAAAAAAAACGTTGCCACAAAACTAGGCTGAAATGACGTCATTTTGACGTCATTTTGACGTCAAAATGAGCCAAAGTGCGGCAAAAACGAGCTCTCATTGGTTTCTTTTAGGCACACCGTTTTGATCGTTCTGTTTCCCAGTGGATCCCTGCATGCGGACACCAGCAAAGCCACGTGTGGCGTAACGTGTAAACGGGTGCGCGTCAAAAGGGGGTGAAGGGCTGTGCGCCCGGGGGGAGGGGGAAGGGGGAGGGGGTGGGGGGAATGATAACAGTGGCTTATTGCCAATGGGATCTCGAAGACCGCCCTGTGAAGTCGTGCCGCCGCCGTACCGCCAGACAGGGGCGGCGCGGCACCGCTGTGAGTGTGAGTGCGGCGAATAGAGATCACGGTGCACGGTCGTCGACGCCCCCGCCGTGCCGCCACCCTGTTCGAGTCAGTGTCGCCTCTTCCCGAAAACATTCTTCGGAATAATGTTTTGAAACTAGACAAGAGTACAAAAGACTGAACTTTGTAAAAGATATGAAAGTGAAGTAACTGCTCAGGTAAATTGTCAAATAAGACACACGGCCGCGCAGCCCTTTTATGCGCAGGGAGTATCGCCGCGCTCGGGCCTTTTGCACCTCGCAGTACAGTAGTGCGAATGGGTTGCCACCCGGCGCCTCGATCGCAATAAAGCGGCGAGTGGCAACCCGACAGGCGCGGCACCGCTCGGCACGCACCTCCGTGATGCACAGGGGGATCTTGGCGTCGCAGCCGCCGCCGAGCTGGATGCCCCAGGGGACGGTGCGGCTCGCGCGGTCCAGGTGCACGGACAGCATCTGCGGCATGGCGATGGAGGCCTGCTTCTAGTCTTCGAGGACGGCGGACGTGGTCGACGGCGTGGTCCGCGGCCCGGTGGACGCCGCGCGCGCGCGTCCGGTGCGCGGAGGTCGGATTCGAAACGGGCACCTCACTTTCGCGCGCTTTTTCGATTTCGCAGTGTCGAGGTGTCGAAGGGTCGAGTCGATGAGTCGATCTCCGTCGCGCTGCCGCGGCGCGTCGTCCTGGCGGCGTCCCGACGGCGTCCTGACGGCGTCCTGGCCCAGGCGGCGGCCAAGCCCTTCCGAGGGCGGACAGGGGGACGAGATGACTGAAGCCTGAGTGCCGCGCCTCAACACAGCGCCCCGTGTCTGTGGAGGGGCGGGGCGGGGCGGGGCGGGGCGGGGCGAGGTGGGGCGGGCGGGGCGGGCGGGCGTTCCCGATCGGAAGCAATCGACTGATCACCGCTGAACTGCATCCTGGCATCCTGGCCCGCGGCCCAAGTCCCAGTCTGCCAGGGCGGCGCCGCGTCTTGCTGCTGCTGGTCTTGCTCGTGGCGGTACACCACCGCCCCCGCGGCGAGGCGCGGATACGTCAGTGACACGTCAGAGACGCTCTTCGGTAGTGACACCACTTGTCTATATCAGGCCCGAGTGTCAGCGCTGACGCCGCACCCCGTCCATCTCCCTCTGTTGAAACGCTGACAACAGTTCGTCGTGGTTTGGGCTAACTTAAGACGGTCACAGCCACAAACCAACTCAAGATTATCATGCACACTGATTAAGAAATTATGAAAATTAAAGAGGATTTATTGATTACGTGTGATTACTTTTCGGCTAATCGCACTCCGTGACAAAGGTGTTCTTATACTCACCCGTTGAGGGAGATCGATTAGCCACCTTAGATTAGATGCAGTGGCTGCCTAAAGTCAGGCCAAACCACGATTTCTACACATTTGTTACCGTTTCGACAATTTTTGCTGCAATACCGCTCCCAAACCAGAACTCCTTTTTATTGATATTTCATAACTTACTTTTAAACCTGTTATGAAAATGGGAACACCTTGCAATGCGCTTAGCATTGGAATTTTTTTTTCTTCGGCGTGCGACCGGCGAATCAGGCTCCAGACTCCAGGGGGCCCACTGTGCTGCGACACTGCCGCGCCGTTGTTGGCGACTGCAGCGCGCGCAGCAGCAGCCCGATCCCGAAACGGCGCCAAACTGTCTCCGTCGCACGCGTGGGGCGTCGCGCGGCCGGGGCGCGAAGGGAGACGGAGCGACGAAAGCACCCCGTACGTAATCAGTCTGCAGAGCGGCGCTGCTGCCTTGTTTTCCGCGGGGCCTTTTCAGCCCCAGGCCGCCCCAGGCCGCCGGGCGACGGATGTACTTCCAGTGGCGCTCCCCCTTCCTCTCCCCTCCTCTCCCCTCCCCTCCCCTCCGCCACTTCTCTCCTGTTCATCTCCGCAGCGCCCCTCGTGCAGCGCAGCGGCGCACAGTGGGCCAGAAGACCGGTGGAGGCGGCCAAAACTCAAGACGCGTTTTGACCTCCAGAGTCCCATTTAGCGATTCTGGAGCTCAAAACGCGTCTAGAGTTTTGTCCGCCTCCACCGGTCTTCTGGCCCACTGTGCGGCGCAGCGGCGCAGCCACCCCTTTCCTCGAGTGGCAATTGCTTGGTGACGTGCGTGGCGTGGCGCGGCGCGGCTGGCCTACTTACTTTCCAGCTTTTCAGCGCGTGGCGGACTTCCCGAGACTTCCCCGCCGCCGCGCCACTGCCGCGCCAGCGTGCCACTCGGCGCTTCCGCGCTCCGCGGCGCTGGCGAGCCGCCTTTCTTCGCCCCCCGGGCTCGAGAAGCTCGAGAAGGTCGAGAGCTCGAATGGGCGAGGAGTGCGATGCCGCCCCCGCCGCACAGTGGGCCAGAAGACCGGTGGAGGCGGCCAAAACCCTAGACGCGTTTTGAGCTCCAGAGTCGCTGAATGGGACACCAACCAAACGTGTGACCCCACCAATGGGTTCCTCGTTCGGAGAGCAATCCATTGGTGGGGTCACACGCTCAGTTCGAGTCCCATTTAGCGACTCTGGAGCTCAAAACGCGTCTAGACTTTTGGCCGCTCCAGCTCCACCGGTCTTCTGGCCCACTGTGCGGCGGTGGTGTGGCGACGCCGGGCGGGGCGGCAACCCAACCGACTCGGCCGCGCGGTGGGAGCGGTGCCTCCAGGCGCGCGTCGCCGCTTTGTTGGGGTCTGGCCTTCACTGCTTCGCTGCGCCACTGTCATCACGCGAGTGCCCGCACCTCGCACTATGTACCACAGGATTCACAGAGCAGCCGCGTCGCCCGCACTGCAGCCAATGGCGGTGACAGAGAACAACGACGCTGGCGAAGAGCTCCGATTCCTCATTTTGACCGTAGTTCCGCGGACGCGACGCGACGCCGCGCGGATGTCTCGGATGTGTCGATATTGCTCATTCGGTACGAGTGTCGGCCTGTCGGACCCTGTCGGACACGCCGCACGGCAGATAGGAGAGGGAAGAGGAAGTACAGGTGGACGGAGTGGGAGTGGGCGGGCTGAGGCGGGGCGGGGCGGGGCGGCCGGCCGACGCAGCCAGCCGCATTGCCCGATTCAGTAGTGGTTTGCGCTCCGGCCCGTCACCGTCCATCGAGTATCAAGTTCGCCGCCGTCCACTCGACACTCGCCACCATGCCGAACTGCCCCAAGTGCGACAAGCCCGTGTACTTCGGTGAGCGAGAGTGAGAGGGACAGAGAGAACGCTTCGTTTTGTCCGCGACTTGCCGCTCCGCGGACCACCTGTGTTTCTGCCGCTGTTTATCTGACGCCTGACAGCCTTTATCTGTCTGTCTGTCCGCCAAGATGTCTGTCTGTCGATCCGTGTCTGCCGGGTGTTGACGATGCACGGCGAGCGCGGTGTGCACCACTGTAAAATGCGCCAGGCGAGGCGTCCGGATGGTTCGGCGGCGCGCTTTGTAGGTTATGTCCGACGGTGCCGTACGGGTGTTGTGACTAGCGGCGCGCCTCTCTGCCGCTGGGCTGGGGCGTGGCGGGGCGGGGCGGGGCGGGGCGGGGCGGGGCGGGGCGAGGCGGGGCGGGGCGCTAGCACAGAGCCATGTATGGGCTTGTCGAGCCCACCTGAGCCCCATCCTAGGCCCCGCGGCCCCCGCGACCACCACCTGCCGTCGCCCATGGCAACGGATAGTCCTCAATATCATTGCGCTCGTTGATAGGACCGGCACAACGCCAAAGCACATAGCTGGCCGCACTCCGGCGTCGCACAGTGGGCCGCGGCCAAAACTCTAGACGCGTTTTGAGCTCCAGAGTCGCCAAACTGGACTCGAACCGAACGTGTGACCCCACCAATGGATTGCTCTCCGAACGAGGAATCCATTGGTGGGGTCACACGGTCGATTCGAGTCCCATTTAGCGACTCTGGAGCTCAAAACGCGTCTAGAGTTTTGGCCGCCTCCACCAGCCTTCTGGCCCACTGGTTTGGATTCCCGTACAAGCGTCGTGTTTGCAGGGGTTCCCGCGGGCAAGCACGGCCGCGCGCGGACACTTTCGAAGAAACGCCGGCACGCTTTGGCCGGCGAGTGACTCACTTGGAAACAACAACCGAGTCTCGGTTCTGTCTCCCTGCCCTTGAACCTCGGCTCCGTCAAGTCGGTCATAGCGTTGTTGCGGCGCGTCGGCTTTTTTCCCCCGCGGGTTCGTTCCTCACACGTAGCGAGCCCCCTTCCCCCGGGCCATAGCGGCCTGGGCGTGACATCCTGCCGCGCTGAGCAGCGCGGAGCCTCTAGCCGTGCCGAGCACTGCCGAGCCAGCGGGCATTCCGTAGATGACCTGTGCGGTCACATCACGGACCACAATAAACCCGACGCCCGACGGACCGGCTACGCCACCAGGCCCTCGGCTCGGCCCCTCGACCGCCGCGCCGCGAGCACTCCAGCCGGGAACACCGCCACACCGCCGACAGACTCATTCCGAGAGTCGATTCCGTCGCTCTGTCTCTCTCGCACTCAGAGGGCGTCCCGTTGAGGTGCGAGAGAGACAGCGAGCGACGAAGACGACTCTCGGAATCAGTCCACAGGCACAGGGACCTGAAGGCTGGGCGTCGCGCGCCGCGGCTCGCTGGCGGAACGGACCGCTCCGTGCCGAATTTGGCGCCAAAACGGACACGGTCGTCCGAAGTCCGAGTGTGTGTGTGCGTATGTATGTGAGTGTGTGTGTGAGAGTGAGTGAAAGAGTGTGTGTGTGTGTGTGTCGTGGAGGGGAGGGGGTGGGGAGGTCCGGGCGGCACGCTCGGCTAGTTGCCGCCCGTCGGGTAGGCAACCCAACGGCCATGGTGGCTGGCTTGGTTGCCTGTCCGCGCGGCTGATTTTGCACACCGTTCCGTCGCTGTCTATCTCGCACCTGTACGGGACGCCCCATGAGTGCGAGAGAGAGAGAGAGAGAGAGAGAGAGAGAGAGCACGACGGCGGCATTCTGCGGACGCGCTCTGCAGGTGCATGGCAAAGGCATGTGCAGTGGAGCTGGCGTGACGCGTTGAATCGTTTCTGCGATTCCTGACGCAGTTTGGTCGCGAGCGATAGATAGATAGCGCCGTGATAACGGACGTGACTCGTCATCGAATAACGCTGCGGGACGCGGAGGCGCCTCGACAAGTGTCTGAATCAACCCTACCACTCACGGTGTACCGGAACTCGAAAGAAATAAAAGCGTTGATTTTCGAGAATGAGAGAGAGCGTTGTTGCCGTTCCTAGAACATTATTGTTGTTCACTTGTAGCGAAAACGCGAGAACCCCGGACCGGTCCTCCGGTCTGGATCGTGACGGGGTGCATGGAGGGCATGAGGACTAATTAGGGTTCTAATTAGACAGGGGAAGAATACGCGCCCCTCCGGCCTCGTCGCCAACGGGCAAGGGGTGGATCCAGATTCGGCTTGGCGAGGGGGCGTGTGTCAAAGGTTGCCTACTTGCAAGGGGTGGATCCAGATTCGGCTTGGCGAGGGGGCATGTGCCGAAGGTTGCCTACTTGCAAGGGGTGGATCCAGATTCGGCTTGGCGAGGGGGCGTGTGCCGAAGGTTGCCTACTTGCAAGGGGTGGATCCAGATTCGGCTTGGCGAGGGGGCGTGTGCCGAAGGTTGCCTACTTGCAAGGGGTGGATCCAGATTCGGCTTGGCGAGGGGGCGTGTGCCGAAGGTTGCCTACTTGCAAGGGGTGGATCCAGATTCGGCTTGGCGAGGGGGCGTGTGCCAAAGGTTGCCTACTTGCAAGGGGTGGATCCAGATTCGGCTTGGCGAGGCGGCGTGTGACAAAGGTTGCCTACTTGCAAGGGCAAACCTCTTTCTACCCAGCACTTCCACGCTCGCGACTCAGTACGCCAATTTTGTTGCAGCGGAGCGCAAGACTTCGCTGGGCAAGGACTGGCACGGCGCGTGCCTGCGCTGCGAGAAGTGCAACAAGACCTTGACGCCGGGCAGCCACGCCGAGCACGAGGGCAAGCCCTACTGCAACCAGCCCTGCTACTCCGCCCTCTTCGGCCCGCAAGGTGAGGGACGACGATTAAACTTTTCATCCTTTTTTTGCAAGTAGGCGTCGATGTCGTTCAGCCTTTGAGGGGTCTCGCGCTCCTGAATCCAAACGAACGCCTCTCTGTCTCTCTCGCACCCCTCCGGCGCGCGCTGTGAGTGCGAGAGAGACAGAGCGGCGTTCGGAACGGTGCTAATGAGTCGGTAGATTGGATTTTGGCGCGAAAACGGCGCCGCCGCCTCTCGCTCTGACTTTGACTGTTGTGCTGTTGGCAGGTTTCGGCCGCGGCGGCGCGGAGAGCTACGTGTACAAGAAGTGAGACCTACCGCCGCCCTGCCGCCACCCCTGTATTAATGATGTCTTGATGTATAGTCGCTGGCATGGCCCGCGCGACCTTTTTGTTTAATAAACCTGTTGCACCTTGATGCGTGTGTCGCTCGATTCATTTCTTTTTCACATGGGAAGTTTCCAAAATCCTTTTAGTCATTTCGTTTCGGAAAACTTCATGAAATGATTCTGCTGCTGCAGTAGAAAACGTCTCATTCACTCTTTAATTTGTTCAGACTTCATTCACTAACGTATAGGTGTTCATATTTATTTAATCACGTATTGTTTTTAAAATGTAAACTAAGAAGTTTGGATGCATGTAAAAAAAGAAAGTGGCGCATTGGACTCAGTCCTCGGCGGCGATGCCGGTTACGCTCTCGATGTAGTCCAGGAAGTTCGAGACGCGCGTGAAGACGACGGGCTTTCCGGACGCGCAGTCGCCCTTCACGCCGAAGGACACGATGCCGTGCAGGACCCTGGAGGCGGACAGCGGGTCGACGAAGCTCACAGGGCCACCCGCGTCCCCCTGCGAAAAAAATTCACCCGCAGGGTTTTCCATGAGGAAAAAATTGTCAATTCGTGTCAAAATCACTGCAAATTCATTTTGTGACAATCCAGGCTTGATGACATTCTCAGCGAAGGCATGCTCACCGCGCAAGGGCTGGGTCCGTGCGCCCCGCTCTGTCCGGACGTGTCCAGACACAACTTGGTGCCGATGACCTTATTGCCGAACTGTTTCTCGCAGACAGAGTTGTCGGCCAGCTGGACTTGGGCGACCTGGAGCCTGTTGGCATCTGCATGGGGGAGAGAAATGATGGTTTGTTTGATTTACTCTAAAGTTGGAACGGTTGCCCTCCGCAGCCACACTCACTGTTTCCAGCGTCGGAGAACCTTCCCCAGCCCGAGATCACGACGCTCTCTCCCACCAGGTTTTTGGCGGCGTTCGCGTACGTCGGCAGCGCGATGACAGCGACTCCTGCAGTGTCAAAGTAGTAGGTTTATCATGCAGAGGTAGGGTTAGAGTACTTCGGAAAAGAGCTGGAATGAAAGTTAAAACGAACAAAAGTCTCAGTAGTATGAGAATTTAGCTCTGCGGAAGTGGCAGAACGGCGACGCAGACGCTCATTGCCGCCGCAAATCTTGTACAGGCCCGGACTGGCCCGGGCCGCGGGGGCGCGATCGCGCCCGGGGCCTCGCGCGAAGCGCGGGGCCTTTCGGCCGCGGGCCACGGGGCCTTTCCACCGCGGGGCCTTCTTGGCCGCGGCAAAGTCGCGGTCTTTAACAATTTACGTACTTAAATAAAAGGGGTACCCATTTGAAAATTTCTCAAGATTTCGCAGAATTTTGCGTCAAAATTATGCCGGGTTCCGCGAGATTTTGTTGGTATTCCACGAAATTTCTGCCGATTTTACGCATGATTTCGGCAAATCAAGCGCATTTTTTGGCCAACTTTGGTCCCAAAATCGTTGCGGTCAAAGGCAAAATCGTTGTGGTCAACGTCTTCCCGGGACAGGGCATGAAAGAGTGGGGTCTTAAGAACACTAGAACGTCGAGGGAGGCCTTTTACGTCAACTAGATTGGACACAGTGGCCGCCCAAAGTCAGCAAAATCAGCAAATTTCCGAGACTCGACCACTTTTTGACCAACTTTGGTCCCAAAATCGTTGCGGTCAAAGGCAAAATTGTTGTGGTCAACGTCTTCCCGATACAGGGCATGAAAGAGTAGGGTCATAAGAATACTAGGGCGTCGAGGGAGGCCTTTTACGTCAACTAGATTGGACACAGTGGCCGCCCAAAGTCAGCAAATCAGCAAATTTCCGAGACTCGACCACTTTTTGACCAACTTTGGTCCCAAAATCGTTGCGGTCAAAGGCAAAATCGTTGTGGTCAACGTCTTCCCGATACAGGGCATGAAAGAGTAGGGTCATAAGAATACTTGGGCGTCGAGGGAAGCCTTTTGCGGCAACTAGATTGGACACAGTGGCCGCCCAAAGTCAGCAAATCAGCAAATTTCCGAGACTCGACCACTTTTTGACCAACTTTGGTCCCAAAATCGTTGCGGTCAAAGGCAAAATCGTTGTGGTCAACGTCTTCCCGATACAGGGCATGAAAGAGTAGGGTCATAAGAATACTAGGGCGTCGAGGGAGGCCTTTTACGTCAACTAGATTGGACACAGTGGCCGCCCAAAGTCACCAAACACGGCTTACCCTCCCCTGGCTAGTAAATTTAAAACAATGGACGCATATCGGAAAAGGGGGCCCTTGACGTCACACTGCGACCGGGGCCCTGACTTAGCCAGTCCGGCCCTGATCTTGTATACACTTCATTCTTCTTGGGTTCTTTCCGATTTCCATTCCAGCTCTTATCTGATATCCGTGAGTACTCACTCTGGTTCAGGGTCAGCTGCGTGGTCAGCTGGATGAGGGCGATGTCGTTGTCCAGGAACATGGGCTCGAAGTGCGGGTGGATGGTGCGGTCGAGCGCAGTGGTGGTCACCCTCTGCGCGTTGGCGTCATTCAAATTGAGGATCCCCGCGCGTACCTCGATCGCGCCGGTCCTCCTGCAGAGGGGCAAGCAAGCAGTTGCGGTCTCACTTCCACCACTTCCACTCACGGCGTCTCGCAGTCAAATTCAGTTCTCTGTCCCTTACCCGTCGACGCATGTGCCGGACGTGATGACCCAGGACGCGCTGAGGATGGACCCGGAGCAGAACAGGTTGTCGCCCTCGTCAAGCAGCGCCACTTGGAAGGGAAGCGCCGCTTGCGCATTGCCGCCGCCGGAGATGCGCACTGGGCAAACCAAGGGGAAGTGAGCCGGCGATACCCCGCGCTCAAGCGACTCGCGCGTGGAGTATCGCCGGGCTCTGAGAGTCGTTACAAGACACCGGCACATATTAATTTGATGATAACTCACGCTGGTGTGCGCTCCGCGAGGACTGGGACAGCGAAGCACCCGCCTGCAAACATAACACCTTGTTGTAGAGCAGCGCCTCTCATTGCGTGAGCCGCCAGTCTCCTCCGTCCTTTGGCCCACTTGACTGCAGCCGGCCAAACGCGGAGGAAACTGCCCGAGCCGCCAGTTTCCTCCTGTCCTTTGGCCCATTTGACTGCAGCCGGCCAAACGCGGAGGAAACTGTCCGAGCCGCCAGTTTCCTCCTGTCCTTTGGCCCACTTGACTGCAGCCGGCCAAACGCGGAGGAAACTGCCCGAGCCGCCAGTTTCCTCCTGTCCTTTGGCCCACTTGACTGCAGCCGGCCAAACGCGGAGGAAACTGCCCGAGCCGCCAGTTTCCTCCTGTCCTTTGGCCCATTTGACTGCAGCCGGCCAAACGCGGAGGAAACTGTCCGAGCCGCCAGTCTCCTCCGTCCTTTGGCCCACTTGACTGCAGCCGGCCAAACGCGGAGGAAACTAACTGTCCAAGCCGCCAGTTTCCTCCGGCCTTTGGCCCATTTGACTGCAGCCGGCCGAACGCGGAGGAAACTGCCCGCGCGCGGAATGGGGGTCGTGCAAATAGTGGATGCAGTATACGCACCGCGAGGGTGGCCATGGCCGCGCCTAGCAGCAGGCAGGACAGGGCGGCGCCGAGGACGTTCATCGTGGTTCAGTCGGAGTGAGACTGCCCGGGGACTGTCGCCCCGTCGCCGCGGTTGCCACCAGCCGAACGGTTCTGCACACCGCCGCCGTCGCTCTGTCTCTCTCGCACCCTCGTACGGCACGCCATGAGGGCCGTGAGTGCGAGAGAGACGGTCGGCGTCAAGATGGCGGCGCGACGTGTCCTCTTGGCGGGCCAAGAAGGGCCACTTGACGAAAGAGATTAATAATTCGGAGAACGCGATTTAACTATCGGAAGGGAAAAATGCAGACACTGTTATGTAATTGGCCGCCTCCTCAAGGTTTGTGTGACTCAGAAAATTTGGATGTTGGATGTGCTTCGAGGTGGAAGCACGACTTGAAACCTAACCTAAAATTTGGCGCAGTTAAGTAATTTAACATCTTAACGTGGACTTGTCTTCTTTGGTGCCTGTTTGTTTTCGCTAAGGTTTTAAAACTTGCATTTGCTCAAGGAAAATGAGCATCATGATGGTCCCCTCTCCTCTCATATACCGTTTTCCTCCTCACTTTTTTTTGTCGTCAAATCTGTCGCCTTTAATCTGGGCCTATCTTACTAATTGAATCGGGAGAGCGAAGAGGGAGAAGGAAGAGGAGCAAACGTCCGGGGAGTGGGGGGTGGAAGGAGGGCAGTATGTGTCAGCTTTATCAGTTTGTCTTATCAGGAGGTGGCGGACCCGCCTTGTTCGCAACTAGGACCTCATTGGGTGGGGCTGTCTGAGTAAGTCACCGGGGACCGTCCCTAAGCGGCGTCCGAGGAAAGGGGCAGAGAGGCCCCCGCCCCTCTGTGCACTTCGGTGAGACGGACTTTTCCTAGGGACAACGAAAGTACGCCATGGCCGCTTCAAAGACTAGCTTCGCACAGACAGTCCCAAGACGTGGGAATTTTTTGAGACGCCACCAGAGGTCAGCTCAGTAAAGACGAGACTCATTCCCTAACTCGCCCGATTACGCCTCATGTGGCGTCGCAATCGTCGTCGCATCGAGCACCGAGTCGGCTCGGCAGGACTCTATACTCGTCCCAGCGTAACCTTTCCGAAAGTAGCCCCTCGTCCGTCTTTTCCCCAAATCGGCGCATTTTATTTCACAATCCTCAGGAAATAAGTATTGATTCCAAAAATAAAGGCGATTCCGGCAGACAAAAATGTGTGGGGCTTTCACTGATATAAGCAGTTATTATTGAATCTCTTTCAGTTGCTCAAAGATAATCTAAAAAGTCGGGAGCTCGGTCGGGAGGAGAAGCCGCCCTCGCGCACAAAATCCGGGATATCTAAAGAAGAAGGCAAAGTTTCGCAAAATAAAGGCGATTCCGGCAGACAAAAATGTGTGGGGCTTTCACTGATATAAGCAGTTATTATTGAATCTCTTTCACTTGCTCAAAGATAATCTAAAAAGTTGGGAGCTCGGTCTAGAGGAGAAGCCAGCCTTGTGCACTCAAATCAAAATTTCTGAATAATAAGGCACAATTTCGAAAGACAAGGGCCAGCTGGGCATACAACAACGTCTTAGGTTTAGAGAAATGCAAGCTGTCATTATGATATCTCTTTCAGTCACTCAATCTTAGTGCAAAAAGAGGGTCCGAGAGACCGGTGTTTTGAGGGGCTCGGACCGGCGCGTCGTCTGCCCGCGGAAATGCAGAACCCGGAATGCTTAGTGATTACGTCTAAGATTGTTCGTATTTTTTCAACGTTGTTTACTTATACGATTTATTACGATCGCAACGGTCTAGAATTGATTATTAGTTTTTAAAAATCCTATTACCTGCGGGACTATTTTCTGTTCTCTGGCTACTGGCGGAGTGATTTGGAAAGGTTACGCTGGGACGAGTATAGTCAAGAGCGGCGAGCGAGGCGTCGAGCGCCCGCGAGGCAGGCAGCCCATCGCGCGTGGTGCTGAATGGGTTGCCTGCCGCGCAGGCGGCCTCAAGTCAGCGCGGCGGGGCGCAGTGGGCCAGAAGACCGGTGGAGGCGGCCAAAACGCTAGACGCGTTTTGAGCTCCAGGGTCGCTAAATGGGACTCGAATCGAACGTGTGACCCCACCAATGGGTTTCTCGTTCGGAGAGCAATTTATTGGTGGGGTCACACGTTCGGTTCGAGTCCTGTTTAGCGACTCTGGAGCACAAAACGCGTCTAGAGTTTTGGCCGCCTGCACCGGTCCTCTGGCCCACTGTGCGGGACAGCACTGAACTGAGCCAAGCCAGGGCGACCAACAAGCCGCTGTTTTCGCATGAACGCAAGGCGTCCAGCCGAGTGAGTACTTTCATGAGTGGACTATCGGGAAACTTTTGGTCTGGAGGTCGTGCGCGTTCATGCGAAAACCGCTGTGCAGAACGGCGGCGGATTGTAAAGCGAACAAAAGTTGAGCTTGCGATCGATCCAACGCGTTGACGAAAAAGATGCATGACGTCAAAGTGGCTAGCCGCTGTTGCTTCCCTTACCCCTTGGACCTGAAACCAGCTACTGTAACCATCACCCCCCGCAGGCTCCTGAGCCCACTCGGCCACACTTCAGGACGTAGCGGTGCATTCCGAGTCCAGCCACCATCCAGGACCTTTTCAAGGGACGGACGGACAGACAGACAGACAGACAGACGGACGTACCGACGCACAAGGCATTGTTTCTCTCAGCTGCCGGTAGTGGGCGTTAGATTATCGCCTTGTCTGTCGATGATATGCGCCTGAGCGGGGCGGGGCGGGGCGGGGCGGGGCGGGGGGGCGGGGCGGGGGTGAGGTACGAGAGGTACCTGTGGTTCCAGTCACATCGCTGCGCCCGGCTGCGCCCTCCGGCGGCGAACCGGCTAGTTAGGAATAAAGTCCGTCTGCCTCGCGTCTGCCGCTCTGCCGCGCCCCCACTCCACCGCCCCCCTCTCCCTTCACCCCTTCCCTCCGCCTCCCCGGCCGCCGTGCGAGTCTTGTCGGATTCCTTCTGTACGTACTGCTTCATTTCTCATCCTCGCTCACGCGACTTGAACCGAAGGCCCTGGAGACTGACTTCGAATGGAAGGCCCCATGGGGGCGAGAGAGACAGAGAGTGCGGCAATTTCGAAAAAACGCGGCCGCAGGGTGGTGAACAAGGAAACGATCTGAGTACCAAACCGAAGTCGAAATGACTCCAGTGGTCTCTTCCGAAATGATGCGTTAGGCGGGCATTCCCCGTGGTCGGCTTGGCCCCCTCCCCCGCCCCCTCCCCCGCCCCCTTCGCCGTGCACACTGCGAGTCTGCAAGACGCCCCCGCGCGCCGTGCGGATTCGCGTCCACATTCCCACGGAACGCGGCTGCTTTCGGCTAAAGCAGCCAAAGGCAGCCAAAGCGGCTAAAGCCCCGGGCGGCTCGTTTACAAACGCCGCGTCCGAAACGCCGAACGCCGCGTCGGGCGGCGCGCAGTGTCGGCTCGGCTCCTTCGGGCCGCTTCGGGGCGCTTCGGACGCGCCGCAGGGCTCCCCGGGTACGGCACCCGGGGGCGACCCGGCACCCGGCGGCCGCGCTCCGACCACGCCCCGCGTCAACGTCTCCGGAGCGCGCGGCCTGGACCGGAACGGCACGCACAACGACCGATCCGTGCGGCCGTTCGATCCGCCCCGTCTCAATACTTTCCGCACGAATCGATAGTTAATTGCAGAATTTTCAACGGTGCAAGCTTGGCTTATTTTTCAAAACATCCCACCTCGAAAAGGAACTTAAATAACTAATTGACGACTTTTACTGTCTGTTTCCGGTTTGTGTTGTGCTGTCCTTAAGACTGTTTCCGAGCGATCTCTCTCTCTCTCTCTCTCTCTCTCTCTCTCTCTCTCTCTTTCTCACTTATAGCACGCCTCGTACGGGAGCGAGAGAGACAGACGCAGGCAGTCCCGGACGCAGCACGCAGGGACTTGGCCACACCCCAGGAAGGGTGCCTTTGACGGCCGCAGCGGCACCAGCCGAAGCTGGTTAGCCGGGCGATTCCGGCAGAGGCGGCGGGCAAATTGAAATTTCTGGAGGCGCCGTGTTGCCGTACGCAGGTGGCGCTGTCGACACGGCTCGGTGCGGCCCGGGTCCGTCGGGCCCGTCGGGTCGGGCGTGAGGCCAAGGGGGTTCGGTGCGGCGCGGCGGCGCGGCGGCGGCGCGGTCGGCGGCTTCGGTTCGCGTCGGCTCTTTGGTCCTTGTTGAGGGAGTCGGGCCGCCACCACCACCAGCCGGCCGGCGCGGCGCGAGAGAGAAAGAGAGAGAGGGAGAGAGACGCCCGCCGCGCTTGGGGGCGGGAGCGAGCGAGCGCGCGAGAGGCGCATGGGGCGCATGCCACTGCTCCCATCAACATCATCAAAGCGGCGTTCTGATTGGTCGGCGCTGCGCACCGCGCGGCCCGACGACTGCCGAGCCGACCCGAAGCGAGTGCCGAAGCTCTGTGGACAGCGCCCATGTAGCGGCTCGGCTCGGCTCGGCTCCGCCCGGCGCGACTCGGCTCGACTCGGCTCGGCTCGGACCTGCGCGGCACCTCCGCACCGGCTCCGCTGCTCCGCCGGCTTCGGCTCCGAGGGCTGCCGAAGGCCCCGAAGGCTGGCGTGGTCGTGAGGGCTCCTGGTAAGCCCGGGACAACGACGGCCCCGGCTCGGCTCGCTCCGCGCCGCCTCGGCTGCGCTCGGCACGGCTCGGTTCGGCTCGTCTCGGCGGCGCGGCGGAGGCAGCCCGCCAGTGTCAGTGCAGTGTTGTTCGTGTGAGGATGGCCGCGCGCCGCGTTCCCTGCCGCCGCCTGCTCCGCCTGCACCGCCTGCCGCGATCGTGTTGACCGCGGCACCGCCAGGGCACCGCCAGGGCACCGCGCCGCTCGCCCGCCCCTGTGATATCGAGTGCCGCGTGTGTGTGGGTGGGTGGGTGAGAGTGTGTGTGTGCGCGCGCCGTGGTAGAGGGCGGCGCCGGTTCTTCATGTGAACAAAATGCCACATGTGAGCAGCGGTGGCGGTGGTGACGACTTGGGAAGCACCGATGAAGTTAAAGTGTTCAAAGATGAAGGCGAGGACGAGAAAAGATCGGAGAACTTGACGGAGGAGAAGAGTAGCTTAATAGACCTCACGGAATCCGAGGTAATTATGTGTGTCTGTAGTGCGACGAGAGCCGGCGCTTTGCCGGCAGTGCTGTGCCATAGTTCTTAGTGCCGAAAAGTGTGTTAGTGCTGCAAGAAAGAAGTCCCTTGGATACTTACGTGGATACGCAAGACGTCAACCCAGTTTGGATACTTATCAACGTCATCTGCGGCAGCGCGGCGCCCTTGTAGTGTGCTTACGCCCCGCCAGAGGCTGCCGGCTGCCCGGCCTGCCCGTCGGCCTGTTCGATTTCAGGCCGTCTTCTGACGCACGTGTCGGCGGCCAGGCCGAAGCGCCGCGGCTCCCTCGTTGGCCGATTCCAATTTGTAAACCCAAGCAGACTGCATGAGCAGGGGCAATCCCCCGCGCCCCGCCCTTGGCTGCCAACCTGTAAGGCCCCTCTGGGCTCCTGGACGTTGGCAGCGCGTGGGCGTGCAGGCCAGTGCAGGCGCCCCGTTTCCAGGTGCATTCGGCGTCCGATCCCCAGCCGCATCTGGTCATTCCCCAGTCCCTCCCCGAAGTGCCACTGCGCCGGCTGGTCGTTCCCCCGCCGTCGGCTGGTCGTTCCCACTCCGTCGGCTGGTCGTTCCCCCGCCGTCGGCTGGTCGTTCCCCCGCCGTCGGCTGGTCGTTCCCCCTCCGTCGGCTGGTCGTTCCCCCGCCGTCGGCTGGTCGTTCCCCCTCCGTCGGCTGGTCGTTCCCCCTCCGTCGGCTGGTCGTTCCCCCGCCGTCGGCTGGTCGTTCCCCCTCCGTCCGCTGGTCGTTCCCTCCGGCGGGAACCGCGTGGTCCGCCGCAGCAGCCTCCCTTCCCGGCGTCCCTCTTCGGAACGAGGCGAAACGAGACGACTCGAACCTGTAACACGCGCCGAAGAACGCGCTGTCTCGCAGTCCTTACGAGACGCTCCACGAGTGCAGCACGCTGTCTATTTTCCGAGCGATTGAGAAAAGTCGACCTGTCTCTCTCGCACTCGCGCGCTCTTCGGGCTCTTCGTGAGGGTGCGAGCGAGACGCACGGCTGGTCGCGCAAGGCGGTGGCAGGCTGGCCACACCCTGCCTGCAGCGTGCTTGTAAGCGCTAGGGCGTCGCCGTCTCTCTCTCTCTCTCTCTCTCTCTCTCTCTCTCTCTCTCTCTCTCTCTCTCTCTCTCTCTCTCTCTCTCTCTTTCCTTTTTTTCCGGTGTTGATTGCCGGTAAACTGCCCGCTGCCATTGTTCGCGCTGCCGATGCAGGCGATGGTCATAACCGGCGTCGTTGCGCTCGTTACGACGGGCCGCGCGTTTTTGGCGCGTTCGCGTCGTAACGACACTGGCTAATTATTAATCTCGGAGCGGGCCGACGAAGGCGAGAGGAGGACGACGACCGCGCCCTCAAGCGGCCTCAAGAAGCCGGGCGAACGGCGGCCGATTTTATCGAGTGGCGTCGCCGTGCTTGAGCTGCGCGGAATGAAATCGTCCTCGCCGTCCAGCCGAACGCACTGGCATTACCTCCGCATCAGCTGGTCCACGATTGGGCTGCCTGCCTGCCACCGCACAGTGGGCCAGAAGACCGGTGGAGGCGGCCAAACCCCTGGACGCGTTTTGAGCTCCAGAGTCGCTAAATGGGACTCGAACCGAACGTGTGAGCCCACCAATGGATTCCTCGTTCGGAGAGCAATTCATTGGTGGGGTCACACGCCCAGTTCTAGTCTCATTTAGGGACTCTGGAGCTCGAAACGCGTCTAGAGTTTTGGCCGCCGCCACCGGTCTTCTGGCCCACTGTACACCGCCTGACCTGCGAATAGACGGCACTATTTGTGGAATGCCTGCGAGGGTGCGTGCGCTTTACGCTGTGCGCTGCACCGGTGCTCACTCCCCTCCTGCACCACCACCACACTGGACCGGTGAAATATTACAGGAGCCATTGTGTTTGGAAGCAGGCGGTGCACGGCTGCGGTGCAGGATGAGCCAGCAAGTGCAGCCCGGCCCCCCTCCTCCCCCTCAGCTTTTCTTCTTCTTCTAAGTAGATACACTGCCGACAGCGGGGCCTCGTTTACAACATCCTACCTCGCTTCCTCGCTCCGTCGTCGGCTCCGGGATTCCTCGTCGCACTTTTTTTTTGCCCGCGGGGACCGCCTCGCCTTTTCGATTACCGATTCGCCGGTGCGTGCTCGTCGCGGTGCTCTCGGTGCGCGCCGACGGGTAAATATTTGGAGGCGGCAATCGGGCGACGGTTGTCAAAGTCGTCGCGCCGACAATGACGGATCCTCCACAGTGTCCACGCTGTCCGCGCGGCCGACGAGCGTGGCCGAAAATTGGACACGCCACCTCGTCGGCGGACGCGTGCTGCTCGTCGCTCCGTCCGTCTCCCTCGCACCCCGCCGGCACGCCCCGCGAGTGCGAGAGAGGCGGAGCGAAAGAAAGCTCCGCTCGGCCTGCTGGTTGGTGGTGATTTCACCCCCAGCGATCGTAGGCACCCCGACGACGCACAGTGGGCCAGAAGACCGATGGAGGCGGCCAAAACTCTAGACGTGGTTCGAGCGAGTCGCTAAGTAGGACTCGAACAGAACGTGTGACCCCACCAATGGATTCCTTGTTCGGAGAGCAATCCATTGGTGGGGTTACATGCTCGGTTCGAGTCCCATTTAGCGACTCTGGAGCTCAAAACGCGTCTGGAGTTTTGGCCGCCTCCGGCGGTCTTCTGGCCCACTGTGCGACGCCACTTCCTGCCCAACCGTGGCCCTCCGTGGGCTGGGCACTCACGGACGGTCCCCGAGCCAAACGTTATTCACAGGGCCAGGGCAAGCAGGGCGGGAAGGCGACCAGTTGTTCGCCATGTGTTTGTGGGTGGCCGGCCCCGGCCGAGGACGCCGGCACACTGCCGGCACGGCACACTGCCGCCCGACCGCGCCGCCAGCCGCCGCCAGGCCCTCGGCAAGTTTTGGCGGTGACTCACAAGGGCCGTCGTAGTTCCAGGCGTCGTTCCGGAGTACTAACTGTAGAGGAACCGCGGCCGTGGTTACCCTGCGCGGCGCCTGGAACTGCCCCCGGCGCCGGTCGTCGTTCTCGTGGTGCCGGGGGTGGCCGTTTCGATGTCGTCGGCGAGGTGTTGGCGCGCTTCGCCGCCGCCGACAAGATGACCGTTTGTATGGATCTGTCGGATCGGCGGCTTCGCGGCGGCCGCACGACGGCCCGCTATCGCCACTACACTGTTGACGGACCAGGCGGCGCCTGTGTGTGCGCGCGTAAGTTGCGTGCCGTGTGTTTGTGTGTGTGGCCACGCCGGTGCCGGTATTCGGTCAGGGGAGGGCGTGTCCCGCTAGGTGTGCACAGGCCGGCGCGACACACTGTGTTGGAGGGGTCATGTAGGTTTTTCCCGAAAGTCCCTCCCCGCTGTCACGCCGTCACCCGGCCATGCCGTCGATGGCTCCACAGTGCTCCGCAGACACTGCAGACAGATGCTGAGGGCGGGCAGCGAGGCAGCAGCGTTCGTTGTCCCACTCCCCCCCCCCCCCCCCGGCACCGTACTACTCCCGCTGTGACAAGTTCTTTCCGTGTTTTCGGCTTACCTGTCTCTAGTCCCGCGCCGTGTCCACTGCCTGTCCTGGCCTAGGCTGGATTCCGAACACTGCTTCGTCGCTCTGTCTCTCTCGCACCTATGTGGGACGCCCCACGAGTGCGAGAGAGACAGAGCGACGAAGGCGGCCCTCGGAATCAGTCGGCTGGCGCGTCGCGTTGTCGCGTTCGCCGAAGCGCTCTCGTCTCTCTCTCGCCGCCGGCCGCGGCGTGGGTGCGAGAGAGACGGCCGTCGTACCTGCCTCTGCCCCCCTGCGCCTTGACGGCCAGGCCGGGCCGAGCCGGGCCGCCAATTGTTTGTGGATTTTCGTGTTCCTTGTGCGCCGACATGGCCTGGCCCGCTTGGTGGACACTGGCGAGGTTTCCGGTCAGACTGTCTCCCCACTGGCACCGGCCGGTGTCTGGGCTAATTGTTGGCCGAGTGCGGGCACTGTGCGGCCCTGTGCGGCCCGGGGGGCGATTCGCGAGAACTGAGAACTTGCACGCAGCACGCGGGGCGGATCGGGGGTGGGGCTGGGGTGGGGGCCGCACGTGAGAAAACTTGAAGTTGTGTGTCTGTGTCACCCACATCCCCTCGAGGCAAGGCCGGGGCTTGCAGACGGGTAAATCTCGTAAACGGCCAGAGATAGAATGCAAAAATGATAAAAATTTAAAATTTTGAAATTTAGTTTTGTTATTTTTAGCTGGTTACAAAATGCATCAGGGAGGGTGCCTATGCGGGGGCGGGTCGGTGGTCCGTCCACTGCGACGTGACCGATGCCTTCTTCTTTATCCGAGAGTCTCGCTCCGTCTCTCTCGCGCCCACGCGGGACGCCCCGTGAGTGCGACGGAGACAGAGCGAGACTCTCGGAATGGGAGGCGTGCTGGAGGCGCCACCTAGTCACCTGCAGGCAGTGCAGGCTGCAGGCCCGTTCCTTGGCCGTCGGTCGCAGCGAGGCGAGGTCAGCCACCCTCACGCACAGTGGGCCAGAAGACCGGTGGAGGCGGCCAAAACTCTAGACGCGTTTTGAGCTCCAGAGTCGCTAAACAGGACTCGAACCGAACGTGTGACCCCACCAATGGATTGCTCTCCGAATGAGGAATCCATTGGTGGGGTCACACGCTCGATTCGAGTCCTGTTTAGCGACTCTGGAGCTCAAAACGCGTCTACATAGAGTTTTGGCCGCCTCCACCGGTCTTCTGGCCCACTGTGTCCCGGTGCGGTTCGGCGGTGCGGCTCGCCACGCCTCCCCCGACGTGTCGCCGCTAGCCCCGCACTAGCGCCACGACGGCGGCGGTCAGATTCGGAAACGACTCTTGGCGGTTTTTGGCGGGCCGGGTTTTGTGGAAACGGCGGTGATCTGTCGCCGGCGATTTGCCTAACGAGGTGTCAGTCAGTCAGGCGGCCGGCCCTGGTGGGCCTGGATTCCGAGAGTCGGCTTCTCTCTGTCTCTCTCGCACTCGCGTGCCGTC